AAGGATCGCTCTGTCTGAAGCAACCGAAAAGTACCCCGAGGGCAGGAAAAGGAGTAGAACTCTGTGCCAGGGGTGTCTAAAGGGCCTCCATGGGCCTTATTTCCCAAAACACATGTGTTAGGATCCATTCATGCTTCATCCATCAAAAAATTCACATAATTTACACCATAAGTTATGTTTAGTCTCAGTTGAAATCGCCGAGTCTGTTTACATGCAGAAAAAAAATCATGTCGGGCGAGTTTTGCCACAATGGATCTCTGGAGGCATTTGTCAGGAGATTAGTGAGTGTTTCATGTTTTGTGTACAAGATAGATCAGCAGCTACACATCACACTTATGCCGATAATCACAGCACACATCCTGCTGGGCACAACAGTCATGTCAGATCAATGGAGAGCATTTAATGCAATTGGCACCACTCTGGGATTGACTCATCAAACGGTCATTCATTCTGTTAAGTTTTTGCCAATAGCCAAAGCATCGAATGTTTGTGGAAATCTGCAAAAGAGAGAAACAAGAGCCACAACGGCACACACAGACATATGCTCGATTTGTAAATGTGTGAGTTTATGTCGCGTCAACGTGAAAAAGTAAATGGATTTTATGTCTTCAACGCCATTCTAGACGATATTGTGCAATTTTGGCCACTACAGAAGCGGAGGACCTTTAAAGAAGTAAGTATGTTTTTATTCAAAATAACATTTGTTTTATTGGAAGTGTGAAGTGTTTTAAGTTTTAATGGAAATGTGAAATAATGTATAATAATTTTTGAATTAAAAGTTTTTTAAGCTAATTCAGATTGATCAGGTTTAGGGATACATTTAGGGTTCAGGTTAGGTTTAAGGATACATTTAGGACATAAGTTCGGGTAATCTACCACTTGAGCGTCGGCCAAGAAAAAATCCAGTTGTACCGGTTGGAAGGGCTATTTAACCAACTATTCTTACATTGGAGTCTGTTAATATTTTTGCTTCCGTATACAGGCTATTAAGTTATATAGCACAATACTAATACATTTAAATAATTATTCGAAGTGTCTACAAGTCCGGCGCGCCGGACAAATAGTGTGCAAGATATACGTCCGGCGGCATGTCACGCTAGTAGTTTTTATTATTCCGAACGAAGTGCAGTTTGCGTGGTCTAGTGGTAGAGTGGTTGCTTAATGTTATTATGATTTGAGGATCAATTCCGGGGAAAGGATTTTTTTTTTCCCATTTTAATTAGAAATATTTTATACTATATTTTTATTATCATGTTCATCAGCAACAGTAGTTTCATGAGAAGTTTTTAAATATTATGTAGCAATTTAAACAATTAAAAATGAAATCTTATACTTTTATTGGTTGCCTACTCCACACTGGCCCCTAATTTATTTATGGATTACTGGTACACAAACTCAAATAACAAACATAACAAAAATGTTTACAAGCCACTTTCACTTAAGTTTTTTTCTATTATTTGCATTCGAGATTGTTATAGAGAGCTTGCTTACATAATATTTCTTGTGCGTGCCCTCTGATTGACCCCGCATGAGACGCTGTGTTCACAAAGGGGTGTGGCTTAGTCTTTTGATCTATTCGTGTTTATGCCGCCAACCACTAAAAATAATTAATCTGTTCCAAATAGTATTTTGTAGAATGAATGGGATTGTTTTAGAAATGCCATGTAGCTTATCGAAGGCAGGGCTTAGGCGTCGGTAGACCCACCTATATAAGGGATTGACAGGCACGGACGAGGAGACTGAGATTTCAGATAGATTTTCTTAACATTACAAGGCGTGTTTTATTCTTTGTGTATTTGTGTGCTCATATGTGTTTATTTCGCATTATTTATTGGCACATTATTCTAACTGTGTTAACTGTGTACCGGTACAAGATCTACCATACTGTAAGTTGAAGATTGTAATTATATTTTCTTTTCTTTTGTAATTATCTTAAGACATAATAAATCTTATAACTGTTTTGGGTCGTATCTTTAATATTGTTGATTCTATGGTATCGTCCTTTGTTAGGCACTGCTTACAACGAGCCAATTAAAATTAAAATAGGAGATTAATTTCTCCCAATACAAGTCAGTGCGTAACAAATTGTGGGCTCTTCCGGGGATAACCGAATCCATATTTTATTCTCATTAGTCCCCAATTTTAACAAATTGTGGGTTTTTCCGAGGATAATTTTAATCCAAAATTTGTATTACACCAATAATAAATTGAGTGTTTTTCTGTGGATTTTGACCCACTGTTTACTTTAACATACTCAAGCTAAATTTGATTACACGATGCCATTTTACGATACCAACAACAGAGCTGGTTACAATTTTTCTTTAAATTCAATTACATTAGTTTGTGCACTAAGCTTAAATTTTTATAAAAATCAGTGTTTGGATTTTGATGTTGAAAACCCATCAGTAGAGGCATTAGACAAATTTTCTAGGAAGGAGCTATTTTCCATTGCTAAAGCTCTAGACTCTAGGAATAAATGTAGCTCATTCGGCAGTTAAAAAGACCATACGAGACATGATCATCCTTCACTTAGTGGATGAAGACATGTTGAACTGGCCTCAGTCACACAACCGCATGATCCTAGTATGGAGCTCCAACTGAAGCTCAAACAGCTGGAGCTAGATAAAGAACGAGAGCTCAAACAGCTGGAGCTAGATAAAGAACGAGAGCTCAAACAAATGGAGTTAGCAGCTCAAAGAGAGAAAGAAGAAAAAGATAGAGAGCTAAAAATAAAATTAAAACAAATGGAAATAACGGCCAATTTAGGAGCAATGGAAAATAGACTCACAGCTCCAGCCGGTCACGGTTGCGATGCAATTAAATTTGCAAAAACAATACCAAAACTTGCAGAAAAGGAGGTTGACCAATATTTTGCGTAGTTTGAAATTACTGCACAAAATTTTAACATTCCGGAAAATATGTGGTCTACCTTACTTCAACCAGCCTTGACCGGAAAGGCATCTGACCAACAGGAAGTATCCGTCATAACCATCACGTGACCAACCAAATATTATAAAGATCTCACGTGATCAGCTGGGTCCGACTAGCCATTTGTTGCTATAGGTACACGGGTACCTATAGCCACTCCGATTTAGAAACAATCAACTGTTGTAATTGTGATTTTAAAACGTGAGCGCGGGACTGCGCTGGACGGGTCACCTCTAGAGGATGGCAGAACACAGAGACGTTGGGAGTAGTGCGTCGCCAGAAATAAAAAAAAAGGATAGACGACTCCTTGGTCGGCCACCATTAAGATAAATAGATGATTTTAAGCCAGACCTACGACAGATAGGAGACGGGAAAAGCCACAGGTATGCTCAAATGGAAATATGGGGCTGTGCAGTACAGTGCACCCTAAATACACCCTAAATAGATGGCAGAGCCCGTGATCATATGGATGGTGAAAAGAAAAACCCCTTTTGATTCAAGGTTTGTGTAATTTGACAATTTAAAAAAAAAATAAATAATAATAATTTTTTTGCGAGACATGACCAATGTGAGATGGGGATAAATTCGTAATAAACCTTCAATAAAAATAAATTTAATTGTTAATAACCTAGCACTAAACCTCTAGGTCTCCGTGCACACACTATTATAGAGAAATAATTGTTTCAAAGAATACTGTAGGATGCTGACAACGAGACAGTGAAATGTATGTCTTACTATGACAGTGGCGGTTCCTGATATATCATTTGTCGTGTCACAATATATATACAAAAAAAAAATTGATAAATGGCAGAAATAGGGTGCCATAGGCATAATGAAGACCAGAATTAAATAAAACGGTCAACGATCAGAGCATATATTAAGTTCATGGAAAAAAATAATTAAAGACACTTACGCCATTCCCCTCCCCCCGAATACGCCACTGAGTGCATGTCCAGTTGCTGTAAGAAATAAACACCAAAAAAAAACCAAAAAAAAAAAAAAAAAAAAAAAAACAAATTGCCCTAAAAAAAAAAAAAAAAAAAAAAAAAAAAAAAAAAAAAAAAAAAAAAACAAACAAATTGCTCTAAAAGAAAAAAAAAGGTGTTGTATTATTTACAGATGAAACAGGATACATTGGCTTGTAGCACATACAGTTATGGTAGCCCGTATGGCCGTTAAAAACACACATAGAAGTGCTGGGGGAGGGGGGCAGGTTTATACGACAATGACAGGTTGTGTGTGTTTAAGGGTCTACACCACAGAGGGGTTCTTAAACTGGGGGCCATGTTAGATGTTATCTAGCAGTTGTGTGGCGGTATGTGTCAAAGGTTATGTGGCCTTTGTTATAGGAAGGTAGATGGTTATGGGAAGGGTTGTTTAGAAGATGGTGATGAGAGAGGGGGGGGGGTATAGAGAGATTGCGAGAGGGTGAGAGAACACGGGGGATATTGATTTTTTTCCCTGGTTTTTGTTTTTCCAGGAACATATCAAGAAACTCTTTTGACTCAGGATTTTGATTGATTTGAGAGATATAACTAGTTCTTCGGAGTGTGAATCAGGAATGTTAAGTAAAGGAAAAGGATGTCTTTCAAAATTGCCTCATATCACACCAACGTTTAAGGAGTCCACAATAAAAACTCCCTCAAAAATCTATGTCGGAAGCGCCCACCCCCCCCGCTTTTGGCTTTTGTATGCTTATTTATTAATTAGACTCAGTAATAAACTGTAAATAATTATTAGTACAATAGACTCAACCAAATTCTTGCACAGCCGATAACACTTTTAGTCTTTGTATATTTAATTTTATGCACACTTGATAATGAAATAATTCGCGTTCCCATCTATCTTTCAGACTAGATTTTTAAAAATGACATAAAATATATGGTCTTTGTTTTATGAATAAATTGGTTATTTTTTTATATAATATAGTTGTTCAGTAAACATTACTGAAATAAAAAAGAAGAAAAAAAAATGATACGCAGGTCTTTTGTTTTATTTGTTTCCTCCATATATGTAATTTTAATTTCAACTGAGAAATACAGAATTCATGTTTTATATTGGATTAAAGATGGCCGACAAATAAACAAAATGAAAGTCCTCAAAGACAAAAGTGTGTTACTTTTGTAAACATACAAAATAAATATAGAAAAAGCTTTAAAATTTCATGTTTATGATTAAATTCTAGGAATAATCTAAATGTAAGGGATACATTTTAAATATTGCATTAAGTTTTGCTCATTTAAATAGTATGATAAAAATGAGTCACTTTCACTTACTTAACTACGTCGTCGTCGTCTATCACTGAAACTGACTGAATCCTCTACTGACTTACTACTTACAGTTGTGGTAATCTATTGATACTGACTACAATTTGAGTTTGACTTTAAAAAAAAACCACCTAATCTACATAAAACTGTTGCAACTTAAAATTTTAATAATGAAAGTTTAAAGTAAGTAGGTAATGCTTCAACTTCAAGGATAAACCTGGATAAATAAACAACTGTTTAAATTTTAAAAACGGCTTTTTTTGTTGCTAATTTATCTGAGTATTTATTAATTTATTACTATTTGTCATACATTTTTAATATTTAATTTTATTGAATTTGATTGTAATGATTTATGGTATCAGGATCGTGGCTAGCATTAATTATTGAGCCAGTTTAAATTATGCAAACCAATTCAGACCAATGCTTTTATTTAAAAGAATAAAGCTACCATAACTCTCATACACGTTTAAAGTCTTACTGACTGAGACTACTGGTACTAATAGGCCCAATCTTAAAAAGTCTTTACAGACTCTAAGTTTAATTTAATCGTTACTTTATTAGACTCATACTAACTACCTAAGACTAAGAAGTTGTCTAAGTCAGGGGTAGGCAAACTTTTTGCAAGGAGGGCCACATTGACAAATGTAAAGCTATTGGAGGGCCGCATGTATATTATGCCAACTTTTTACATGTCGATAAACATTTCTTTAAATTAAAATTAGCAAATTCACATTTTAGCATTACATGACAAAAGTCAAGGACTGTTTAAGTTTAAAAAATAGAAAATTAGAAAGAAATTTGATCAAAAATGTTAAAACAATCATAACGGTATTTCTGTAAAATTCAACAAAATAACTTAAAAGCAAAGTAATTTTTTTTATTTCTAAATGCCTTTGAGGGCTGCATAATATCAGTTGCGTGCGGCCCATTGGCCGTAGTTTGCCCACCCTTGGTCAAAGTCTTAAATCTCTTCTCTGAGTCATCTATCAGTTTCTGTCTTCACTTACTAGTTGTAGTAGTGAGGGTGTTCTGAGTCTCTAGACAGAGTTCAGGTACTTTTTTTTATATAAATCTTAATCTTTAACTACTAACTTAACTAAGTATAAGAATGTATAATTAGTGAGAAATAATTTAGGCCTAGGTCTACTTCATACATTGTTATTGTTAATCATGTGCACTAGAGGCTAGTTAATCCACATTCACATACTTATAATAAAAAAAGACAATCACATAGGATTACTAATCTATAATTATTAAATAATTAATCATGTCTTAATGCCTAAATTAAATTGGACCTACATCATAAGAAATAGTCATAGTCAGATGTTTATGTCTTAATTCATTCAGACCTAACCATATGATTTGAGTACCAAAAAATGTTACCAAATGCTCCTTCTAGCCCTATTAAGCTTATGAGATTTTTAAAACTTAATTTAATGCCCAGCTATGCATATTATTTTAAATTTGTGCTTTATGATAATTAAGAATATTAATAAACTAAGGAAACTTCTTTACCCCAATTTAAATGGGCTTACTCTACTGAACTCTCATCGAGTTTAAACTTTCCTCTTATGTGGCCTGTTACTTAAATTAAAATATAATTTACAATTATAATTAAACTTTTTAAAAGTTGAAATACTGCTCACCAAGATGGATTAGTGACTCATTCATTTCCATGAGAGTTAAAAATAACGAAGTGGATGCGTACACCGCGGCGGTGTACCTAGCGAAACCATCGGCTTTGGCCTGCGTAAACCGCGGCGGTGTACCTAGTGAAATCGTGGGCTTTGGCCTGGGTACACCGCGGCAAAAATTTACCATTGGCCTGGTTTTAAGATATACTTGTTGGAGAAGATCTTGTGTGGTCAAGTGGTAGAGTGGACGCTTGGCGATAATATAGTTTGAGATCAATTCTCAGTAGGGGATCGAGTTTTTTTCCTCCCATTTTAGTTTTAAAATATTTTGTAGCAATTGAAACAATTTAAATATATGTTTAAATATTATATTAAATACACTTTATATATTTATTTATATATAAAAGTGTTTCAACAAGTTGTGCCGGCCTTTGACTTTGAAAATACCGGTAACTTTAGTAATAAGACTTTAGACATTTGAAAACAAACTTAAAGTTTCTGAAAGCGCATGTAATACATGATGATCATGTATAACAGAAACATTATGAATACTAAGTGACTGATATTCTATTGTATTTCAACATTCTTCGTATAGTTGAATATTTACATTTTACTTTTACGAACAACCAAAGAAAATACCAGTATGAATAATATTCATGCATATGAATATTAATGTGCATGGTCGTATTTCAACCTTGAACCATCTTGCTTTCACTATGCCTTATGCATTGGCAAAATGTACATACGATATCAAAGGTTCATTCACAACACTCAGTCTCACAGCAAATCTTTTGAAAACACCTCGATTTTAGAAACTTGCGGAGCGGTAGCAAACTGTATAGCAAAGCCATAGGTCTGCGTTTACCCTTTTCATGACGTAATTTGTTTCCAGAATGGCATGGCATGTGCTATTCTCAGGGTAAAACACGACGTTTTCTCACAGAAACCATTGCACAATGCGCCTGGGACAGGATTTGCACTATGTCAAAGTTTTTGTATTTGTTGTTGTTGTTTTTTTTTAAGAAATCGATCCTTGCCGGGGAGTGGGGGGTGGTGGTGAGTTATGGGCAGAGGCTTAACCAAAAAGAGGGCATTCACAAATCACGGCTCAGGATAGGGGTTGTCCACAAAGGACGTCCGCACAACCAACTTACCTTTTGCATCCCCCCTCCCTCTGCCTGCATTTTTTTTACTAATGTGTAATGCCAATGTAAAACTAAATCAATGATTTTTAATTATTGTTAAAAGACTTTCAAATAACTGCAGTGTTTCGTATTGATCATCTTACTGCTGTTTTGTGTTGACACATGCTTGGTGTCACAATGACAATGCCTCGGACTACTTTAACTTCACGACTTCATGATCAATGTATGAGTATGTGATTCTCTTCCCGTAGTGTATTTGTGGCGTAATTATATCATGGTGCTAACAAAATAGATACACTGTCTTCCCATTCATTTTTACACCATGCCCCGAGGGATCACATACAATGTTATATTTATAAGGCACCCCCCCAAAAAAAAAAAAAAAAAACAAACCCAAAACAAAACAACTAACAACTGGGTGGGGGTGGGCATGAGAGAATAATTTCAAATTAAGATTCACAATCATATGATAAAACTTACAATTAATAAATATATTTGTATTTCAAGATATTGGGGGAGGGGGGAATAAAGTGGTTAACTTTAAAAATAAATCATGGTTTAACATTACACCCCCCCCAGCCCCTTCCCTTCCAAAAATAATAAGAAATGCTTTACATGCACTTTGCCACATACGCGTGGACCTTACTCAATATCTTCCCAAGGTAATAAACGAATTTTTAATAGTTTTCAGTTTTAACACGAGTATAACATTAAATCTACAAGTACCGGTTAGGCCAAAAAGTTAAAGACTCGCAAAGACCATAGTTTGGCTACTGTAAATCGCTGCGGTGTACGCAGGCCACAGACCATGATTTAGCTAGGTACACCGCCGCGGTGTACGCAGGCCAAAGTCAATAGTTTCGCTAGGTACACCGCCGCGGTGTACGTAGTGCCGGCCTAAAAATAATGAAGGTGTAGAAATTCACTTAAATTTTAATATATTGTTTAATGATTGCTGCTGGCAAGTGTCAATTCTATTAATAATAGACTAACCACTCTGAATATTTATTAAAAGGTAGAAGGAGTCTAAAATTTCTTTAGTCCAGTTAAAAAGCACTGAAAAGAAATAAACACTTGCCAATGGTAAAAAAATAGATATAATTTAAACAATCAATCTAAATCAGTTGTTGAATAGTTGGTGTAGAAGTTGGAATTGATAATTCAACATAAATGACACATGTAAATGAGATATAATTTCTTTTTTTTTTTTTTATCTTCCCTAGTAAAATTTATCATGTAGCGTATACAGCATATTTAGGCAAAGGGCTGGACTACAACTTAAATATAACGGCTCTTTGAGGCTTTAGCCTAACCCAGCAACATGCCGAAAATGACTATGACCAAGACGTCAAAGGGGAATGCCAAGCAGTTTCCTGTCAAGGTCTTCACCATGGATGCTGAGTTGGAGTTTAAGATAGAGGTTTTAAATTATGTACTTTTAGGCTCACAAAAAAATTTAAATTTTATAATTTGACTTTACAGTCCAATTACATTTTCTTTTATGGTTAATATTTAAAGCGAAACTTTTTTTTTATGTGTCAAAAAAAACAAATACAGTAGAAATTGTTCTCTGGCACAAAAGAAAACTTTAGAAAAATGTTGTGATGCTTTTTAAAAATAAAATGTTCTTGGCTCTTTAAACATTTGAAATTCAATTCAAGCGAAATCATTGCAATGAAAAAGATGCCTTATTTTAAAGTGTGTTTTACTGTGCTCTATCTGCATATTCAATTTACACTTTTGAGTTATGGATGCTATATTTTCCATTTGAATTTTTTCACTTTTCAGCCAAAGACCACAGGGAAAGAGCTCTTTGATTTGGTTGGACGCACAATTGGCTTAAGGGAGACTTGGTACTTCGGCCTACAGTATGTTGATTCTAAAGGTTATGTGGCCTGGCTGAAATTGGATAAAAAGGTATGAAAGATTAATAAATTTCAAATTTAAGTGAATTTCCGGCAGCAATAACATTGATGATTGATGTGAATAATGTACAACTTAATAAATAAGCAAAGTAATTTGCTAAATACTCTCACCAAAAATAAATAAATACAAAATTGACATTTTTTGGAGATGCGAGACTGAATTTGTTTACATTTTGTTGGTTGTATAGGTTCTAGACCAAGGAGTTTCTAAAGAATCGCAGATCCAGTTTACTTTTTTGGCCAAGTTCTACCCAGAGGATGTAATGGAGGAGTTGGTTCAAGAAATCACTCAGCATCTCTTCTTTCTGCAAGTATGGATTCTTCACATAACTATATATATTTATGATTAGAGTGTTGTATGTGTCAACAATTGAAATGTGTAGCAATGTTAGTATCATTATTGAGTCTAGTACAGTCTGTGGGTTTATCTGTCTTTCCAGGTGAAGCAGTCCATACTGAACATGGATATCTACTGCCCACCAGAGGCCTCTGTTCTACTGGCTGCGTTTGCTGTGCAGGCCAAGTATGGGGATTATGACCAGACCACGTACCAGCCAGGAATGTTGGCCTCTGATGACCTCCTGCCCCAGCGCGTGTTGGATCAGTACCAGGTGAGCGGAGGTGTAGACATCAATGGCAGTGGTTTCATTTTAAACTCATTGCGATTGATAGACATAATTTTCCATTAGGGGATAATAAAGGTCAAGTCCATTGAGCATGTGCTGGATTAAAGGTCCCATGTTATTTAGGAAATTATTTATGATTGGTGCATAGTTAACTAGTTTTTATAGTCTATCCTTAAAGGGTCAACCAGATTCATTCACTTTTAGCACAACCCACCCACCCACCCCTTCCCTGTTTAAATAGTTTAAAATCTTTCAATAAATAAATGATAAAATCAAGCAGAAAATTGCACTTTGCATTGAGAAAGGAGTTAATTGACTATCAATAATGCCTGGACTAGATCTTAACAAAGCTGTGGCGCAATGGTAGCATTGTCTGCCTCTGAACCTAGAGGTAGTTTGGGATTTGAATTTATCTGGTGTGGTCCACATTTGAGGACAATCAACTAGTAGGAATTGATATCCAAGCAAATAAGGAGGTTGTCCCTGAGGGAAAAGCTTCAATCGACAAAATCAAATGACAACTAGGAATGGGATTAAAAATCAGTTGTTAACGCCATTTGTATTTGAAAAATTAATAAAGATCTTCAAAAATTCATCTGTATTATAATTTATAATTTACACCATCCCTACTTCTATTTTATAGATGACTCCTGCTATGTGGGAGGAAAAGATCCAGTTTTGGTATGCCAAGCGTCGGGGTATGACAAGGTAAGTGTAAAGAAAGAAGGGTGGGACTATAAATAATGTGAATTGAAATTAACCGAAGACAGAACAGAGTGTTGGAGTCAGTAGTTAAAACATCAAATCAGCCTCTAGCTCTTAATATCAGTTTGATTCCATCAAACAAAATTTTTATCAGAGAAAGAATGTTTAAATAACTGTCTGCATACTTACAGCACAAATACTCATTGCCATAGGCTACATTATTTTGATTCAGGTTTTGATTCTCCTGGCATTATTATAATAGCACATCTGTATAATGTATCTCAACAGTGACGAAGCTGAAATGGAATATCTAAAAATTGCCCAGGACTTGGAGATGTATGGAGTCAACTACTTTCAAATCAAAGTAAGTGTTCAACTATCTACACAGTTTTTTTTGTGAACAGTTTTATGTCAGTTTCAAAGGGTGTGATGGCTAATTATATTAGAGTTCATATTGAACTTAGAACCATTGAACATTTGTTTTTTTTTCAAGAATAATATCCTGAAATCTTATTTTCTCTTTGAAAATGTTAACGAATTAAGTATATTAATTTCATTCTCCATCTGATTTCAACATTGATATTTAAAAAAATTATCCAGAATAAGAAAAACACAGACTTATGGATTGGAGTAGATGCAAGGGGAATCGGAGTGTATGATAGAGACAACAGACTGTCACCCAAAGTCGCCTTCCCCTGGAGTGAAATAAAAAATATCTCATTCAAAGACAAAAAGGTAAAGTCTATTGCTTGTTCAGCAAGATTCATTTACATATGAAATAGCGCTAGTTGTTTTATCCTTTAATAACTAGGTATTGGTAGCATCAACTGAAGAAGATTAATGTTTGTATGAGACAATAAATTCATGTGTCATTTGTTCTGATCCACAGTTTACTATAAAGAATGTTAGTAAAAAGGATCCCGACTTTGTGTTCTATGCCCCAAAACCTAGAATAAATGAATTGGTAAGTAAATTTGTGGTGATGTTGGTTAGGGTGATGCTGATGTAGTGGTGATTTTTTTTTAGCAAGTAATCATCCTTCAGTTCACATCATGTCTGTAGTGATTGCCCAGTTGGTTGTTCAGATGTTGATATGTTCAAATATGATTATTCTGTAACTCTCAATTCATATTAGAAATCAAATGTGTGGTTTTTTTTTCTTTTGTGTTGCAAGCTGTAACTTTTTCAAGTTATAAATTATTAAAGTCATGTACCATATTTTTTGGGTAAAAAACTGCCCTTTGGTTACAGACGAGTATGAACGGTAATTTGAAAATTTTTATAATTTTTGGTATTCTATCTTTCAGATTTTAGAATTATGTGTTGGAAACCATGAGCTGTTCATGAGGAGGAGGAAACCCGATTCAATGGAAATCCAGCAAATGAAAGCGCAAGCTGCAGATGAGAAAGCCAGGAAGCAGGTCAGCTTCACAGGGATTTACCATAGCAGGGACTCTTAAAATACACATGGAAGCACTGAAATTTTCCTCAAATAGTATTGATCATACCTCAAACAATTGTTGATCATATCTCAAACCACTGTTGATCATATCGTAAACCACTGTTGATCATATCTCAAACTACTGTTGATCATATCTCAAACCACTGTTGATCATATCTCAAATCACTGTTGATCATAGTAATGGGGTTTGAAATTGGAAAACAACAAAATAACTTCATTTGATATTTTACAATTCAAAAGCCTTAGGTTTAAAGTGTGTGAGCTAGCAGCCTTTGAAACTTACATGTTAACATTCTGATTAAAACGGTCATGGTATTATTAGAGTGGTGGTTTGCCTCTAAGAAACTTGAATATCCAAACTTTCTGTGACAATGTGTAGTGAGAATAATAACAAAATCCTGACAATCAATGAACGATATTGACATTTTTTTGGTTTAATTTTGAAGTTTTTTGTGAAACTACAAACTAAAGTTTTGTTTAACTCTTTCATAATCTCCTTATAATTTGTATATGATGTGAATGTCTTTGAGCTGACTGGAAATGCCCTGTTATAATGCTCCCTCCTCTTGGCATCTTAAGTATCCATTGCACATTCCTGGGTGACAAACATCATATTCAATGCTTCTACTGTACTGGTACATCACAGTTCACCCGAAACACTACTCAAATGTCATTACAGAAAGATTCATGGTAGTTTTATTCTTTAGATGGACAGATCTAGGCTTGCCAAGGAGAAGCAGCTCAGGGAAGAGGCACAGCGAGAGAAAGAAGAACTAGAGAGGAGGCTTTTTGCCATGCAGGAGGAGACACGACAAACTCAGGAGGCCCTGGTGAGTGATTGGATACTTTGAAGGGCTTTGGGGGATTATTATCAAAGAAATTCCAGGAAATCTAATCTCATCATCAAATAATTTTTTTAAAAATTGTGGATTATTTCTAAGTGTGATTAGGGAGGCAGTTCTCACTAATAGTTAGATCCTATCCTATGGTAATATATCTTTTTATTCTTGTGTCTTAAAATCACAGCATGGTCCAAAAATTAATCAGCTTTCCTTTGGAAATTCTAAAACTTTAATTTTAAGAAGTAGATCTTTTGGTACCGGTAGTTTTCCAATAACACAGCTGGTGTGTTTATGCAGATGAGATCAGAGGAGACAGCAGAGCTCCTTCATGAGAAGATGACAGTATTAGACGAGGAGGCTAGACTTCTCACCCAAAAGGCAGCAGAAGCCGAGGCGGAAGTTCAAAGAATCAAACTAACAGCAATCAAAGTGAGCTGGAAATTGTCACAGGATTTTTAGACTAACTGAAAAACTTAACCATACTGCTGTTTTTAAAAACAATTTTGATTCTTTTGTGGCTATACTTACTAGATTATTATGTTTTAGCATATGGTAAAATATAATATTATGTTCAATTACTTCAGTTTGGACATGTCATAAGTAGCCAACATTTGGGAAATAATTTGTTAACAAATATCTTTAGAATTAAATTATCAGTTTAAATTGTTTATTTGGCCCAATGCGGTATTTGTCATTACAATATCAAAATTCAAATCTTTGAATGTTTGTCCTGTGGTGTTTTAAGTCAATTTTATGTTTTTTGTTGACGTCCAGACAGAAGAAGAAAGGATGTACCTAGAACAAAGAGCCCGTGATGCAGAGATCATAGCCACAGCCGTTATTGAAGACTCAGAAAGAAGGTGAGCAAATAGTGCAATAATTTCCTAAGTTCTCTAATTCCAGTGTTGTATCTTAATTAAGTTTATTAGTATTATTGGGTTTAACACAATCACCTCACACCAAAATAACTTCTGTGATATGCTTTGTGTATCCAAGTATTTTCTGTTTGTGTTGTGAAGGCTGGTGGTGTCTGGGGTAAATGCAAATGATTTTCTCACATTTCTCTGTGCCTGTACAAGTAATTTGGAGTTTTTCAGTCTAAAAAGCATTCTCACATAAATGAGTTCTTAAGAATATATCAAATGTAGCATCACTTAGAAACATAGCACACTGAAACCTTTTGAAAAATCTTTTTTTAGAAACATTTGCTGCATTCAAAGACTTTTTTTATCGAGCTGGCTTTTATTATAAGCACATTCAATGTAAATCTCACAGCAAGAATAATGCATTAGTCTAAAACCCATTGTTATCAGAGCAACAGAAGCAGAGCAGCTGAGAGAGGAGTTGAAGAGGGCGCAGATGGCCGAGAAAGCGGCAAAGAGAAGATTAATGGAAATTACTCAAGGGGACTACACAAGTGTAAGTGAAAGGACAGTTTAAAAGTGTGATTTGTTGTTTTTTTGTACATATGCTGAGTTTTCTTTGCATCTCTGACATTGTAATAAACTTGAAATGTTTTTTCTTAATGAGGAATTTTTTTTGTGTGTAAGCAAAATTAATTCTACATTAAATTGTCTAGGAAATAATTATAAGAAATTTATCAATGAAGTGTGAAGAAAATTATTGTATTTTCATAAGTGGAGTTTTTTGTTGGTCATTTGCCTTGTCAGTTCACCAACTCCCTTCCACCACAATTAAAAACGATCCACTTTATCCAACCGGGCCTCTCTTTGATTCATAACATTTTGTAATAATGATGTTGTCACTTAAATCTAAATCTCATAAAAAAAGATTTCTTTCATCTGCCTCTTCTTTATTGGTTAAAGTTAAGCTGTCAGAAGTTTGTGTCTGCATGGTTGAGAGGCATTTAATTTTGTCTGCATTTATTCTGCGGCCATCATTGCATTGATTAACAGGACCTTTGGTGGTGTCTGCATTGATTCAAATGTTGATTGTCTTGAAAACGTGTCAAGTCTTTGTTCTATAAGTTGTTGTCTTGTTTTTGAATGGTTCTTTGATGGGAAGTGGGGGGGGGGGGGGGTTTTTGATCTTCAAATTCAAGATTTTGCATTTTAGTTTATTTAAATAAATGGAGAGAAATAGCCATAATTATGGAAACTATTGAACACAAATTTTCATTAAGGTTTCTATGCACATATTACTTTTTTTTTTTTTTAAAACAGAGTTTTTAATAAATTTGTGATGTTTAATGTAATGTTTTTTTTTTCCTATCCAGCCATTTATGTTCCCATCCTTGACCTCTGAGCTGAACTCCATGCCACACTTTGGGAATGCTGGGAATTTCCTCGAGCTCTACTCTGGAAACATTGACCAGTTGAACATGGAGATGGAGAAGGAAAAGTGAGAGTTTTTGTGTTTATTGTTTGGGAACCATGTAAAGTTTGAAAAATATGGATGGCAATGGGACGAGGACATAAACTGTTGAAGAAAAGGCTGCGGCAACTGCCTGTTTAAGAAGAAATTACATTATGAAGGTTTTGAACTTTGTGAGCAAGTGAAAGGGATCTATACTATTTAATTGTGGCAGTCACCAAGTGTAATATACATTGGAAATATTGGCTATCCAGATTTACTTAACATCCACACACTGGCCAGATAAGATTATTTAGCTTGTTTTCACCCTAACCACCACACAGCAGATCACAATATTTCCTAAAGGAAAACTGTCTAGGACTAAATTTTCTCATTTTAAAAAATAAATCCACCTCGGTAGGAAGTAACAACAGTGCCCCCTAGTGCCAACAACAGTGCCCCCTAGTGCCAACAACAGTTGCTGTCATGCAATTCTTCTTATAACAACACAACTCTGCATGACTAATTTAACATATAATTCACATGCAGTGCATTTTTTCTACTGTTTGGGCTAAGTAAAATTGATAGTTTTTATAAAATAAAAAATTTAAATTAATTTTTATTTTAAAAAACAAATCAAATCAAATTCATAACAAAAGCTCCAGACAAATGTGTGGTATGGTTAAGATAAAAATTTAACTGAAAACCTCATGCCATCTTTACAAATTTGGTAATGAATCACCACAGCTTTCACTCCACATCTAGAGCGGCCTTCACAACTCAAAATGTAAGGCGGGCCGTAATATTTTATGAAAAACTTGTGTGGGCCAAAAGAAAATAGGACAGGACTTGTGCAGGCAAAAATGAGCATAGGACAGGGGGGAAGCTATTAAGAAAATAATATGAATAAAAAATAATTCGTTACTTCTCGGGCCGTATGTTGTGCAGGCCTGATGTCGGGAGTATAAAAGATCTATGTGAACAAAATTATTCTGTTTGCAACAGGCGAGAGTACATCTCCACCAGCAAAACATTGGAAGACCAACTGAAAGAACTGAGGACAGAGATTGAGGTGTTGAAGGTCAGTGAGAAGTCCAGCACATTGGACAGGATCCATGATGAGAGCATTCAGAGGGGAGATTCAAAATATTCCACTTTGAGGAAGGTAAAAATCCGTAGTTTTTATTCTTCTAAATTAATAAAAAGATCCGCTACGTTGACTCCATACAGTGTAAACCAAATTCATAATTTTACATACCTACAATGTCTTTGTCCTGTTTGGTTTTTATATCATGCTTCCTCTCCACTTTCTTTTTGTTAGGGACTTGTGCCCATTGTTATTCTTTTCTTTTGTCCTTTAGGTATAGGTATCATATATAGATATATATTGTAAATTTAATTTATTATTATATTTAATGAGTTTTGTTGTACTGATGAAAGCATTTAATTTGTATATTGGTCTGATTATAATTAAGTCTTATTATATTTTTATTTTATTTTCATAAATTGGTTGTCTCATTGTTCTTCTAAATTGAATTATGTTTTTATTAATGGTCAAAAATGAAAGTGAAAATAGAATTTTAGTTGTACAAGAATAAAGCAAGAAAAGAAAACAACTATTTAACCACTTTACTTGCTATGAGAAAAAAAATTATTTCTTGATGCATTATTCTATTCCAGCCTAAAAATTCACTTGCTATTTTTTCTACCGGGTATACACTTTTCGATACCATGTCCAAAACAATTTATTGGTCTCTAATCCAGGTCACTGCCAACTCTGCGAAATCTCGCGTTGCCTTCTTTGAAGAGTTGTGAGGGCCATCGTCTTCATATCTGTGATGCCTTGCAAAAACCTACACTGTGCGTGAGGGTTATGGTTTTCATTTCTGTGATGCCTTGAGAAAACCTACACTGTGCGTGAGGGCCATGGTCTTCATTTCTGTGATGCCTTGAGAAAACCTACACTGTGCATGAGGGCTATGGTCTTCATTTATGTGATGCCTTGAGAAAACCTACACTGTGCCTTCGGCTTGAAGTATAACACCCCTGATACAAAACTCCTGTTAATTTATTTTTAAGTAAAATCACATAAGAAGAACTCTGTAAAAGCAGCATTCATACTGGATACAACGGAGAGTCTTCCTTTCGTTATGACCTTTTTCTATTTCTTTTTTTTAAACAAGTGACTTTTGAGTACATTTTAGTTAATGTAGGAGATTACATAATACATGTTTTTTTAAAGCTCTAGTTTACAATCATACTTGCTGTTAAAAATATGTTCCTGAATTTTCCAATTATTGAGCAATCATTGTTTTATTGATTGTGTTGGCAGTGACTAATTTTATCATATTATTTTTTTCTTCAATCTTCTTCACTTCAGAATTTATTAATTAACATTTTTGTGTGTGTAAAAATTGAACATTCAAGTCATTACTAATCCTTTGACTGAGAAGAGAATAAAAACAATTTTAAAAGTAACATAGAACACTACAATAAATCTGAGAAAGGCCCCGTAAGGGAGAGTACTTCAATCAATGAAAAATAACTTTAGTTACAGTTGGTGTTTCAAAGTTGTGAGATTTATTTTTTAAACTTTTTTTTTTTCAAGTGCAATTTTATATATAAACGTCTCATGTATATACAAACTATAACTGATGTCAATGTTTAACCCATTTATAAACATGTATTCAATGCATTTAAGAAATTTGTCACCTGTAATTGTTGCATGTGATTTCTAGGAGGCTTATGAACAGAATTGTTTTGTTATCCCCTTATTTTATGTTTCATTATATGGTACAGTACTTAACATTTCTCCACTTTCTTGTTTTCTGATTCAATGCCAGGCACTAGGACTAAGAATTATGACGTGTATAGAATCTTGTTTGTCATTAATTTACTTAGAAAGTGTTACATTGAACCAGGAATGATATGCTACGTTCTATATGTGATTATGAAATATAATAGCTATACGATACTTGGCAGTGATGCTGTTCCTAATAAATTGAACCTGTTACATAACTCTTTTCAAGAAATCAAGGATACTAATAATACTAATATAAATCTTGAATTTTACTTTTTTTTTTTAAATATGTCAAGAAGATTATAATATTTTGAAACTTATACTTCAGTTTAAAATATCCACAATGGATAAAAAATAACTGAATAACAAACATTAGATATAAGTTTCCATGTTGTGACTTTACCACTCCACAGCCTCGTAAGAAATGGGCCTTATGGCTTTGTGTTGATTAAATATGTTTGAAGATATTGTAAAATAAATGCATGTCGATCACATGACAATAATTTGAAAGATGCGTGGCGGTTGTTACTTGTTAAAAAATAGTTAGTGTGTACCCTCGGAGTTGTGATTACTTTTAGTTCATTGATGAAAATGTAACATTGAGTGATTCTGTGTACTATTTATATTTTATTAGAGTGAAAATATAACACCATGGAGTGACATGTAACACCAGTGACATGCAGCAGATAGGTGACATGTAGCACCATAGAGTGAGTGACATGTAGAATAGCGTAAAATGAAGCATGGCAGAATGATATGTAGCATAAATACAAACATGTCACATCAGTAGACTAACATGTAGCACATGAATTAACATGTAGAAGCACAGATTAGCCACATCCAGAAATTTGGTCAAATGGAAATTTTTTGGAATTAAATATTTTTTTTACCTCAGACTTAGACGTGCATGTGAGAAATTGGAAGATTTGTTCTAAAGGAATTTTGTTCAAACGGAATTATTTTCATTTTTTTTTTCCCAAAGTTATTAAACTATTGCTTTTAACTGAAGGGAGTTGACCTTTCGTTGCTGGATTAGTCAATTCAATGAATCATTAGACAAAATATAACGAGGAGAATCGCATGCAGTTACAGCATAACTTTTAATCCTCTTCATTATTTGATTCACTTCAGTCAGTTTTAGAGCTATTGGACTCATAATAATGTTCTTTGCTTTGTTTAGTTACAGCACTATTAGCAGTTACAGCACTATTAGCAGTTACAATTCGACATGGACTTGAGCACTCTTTGAAGTTTTTGCAGTTCCAATAAATTATATCGTCACGCTGCTTCTCTTTCTTCATGTACATGTGGCCGTCAACAAACTGCTAGTTTTTATTTATTTTTGTGTGCTTTTAACAAAGGTTATTTCAGACAAGGGGGCCATTAGAGTACTTGGCATTTATCATATTAAGGGCCTACCCATTGGGTTGATACCATGAATTACCTATTTAAAAAAATAACTTTCTTGTTATAGAAATCAGTGTTGTGCTGCATCACTAATTCAATCAGATATTCTATAAATAAAAACATTGAAATGATAGCAAAGTTTATAGGAAGTATGCGTTTAAAAAAAACTTTTTAGTGGTTGTATTTCTATTTTTACTTATTTCCCCAATGCCCAATAACTACGTTGTTTTGATTATTTTTGCATTCAAAACACATTCCGTTTTTAAAAAAACTTCAGTTTGAAAATAAATAATCAACATTGTTTAAAAATTATTATAAATTTCCGTTTCAACAAACTTCTGTTCTAACAAATCTAATCATTTCTTTCTAACTGGCACATCTAGAATAAACCAAAAAAAACATTTTAAACAAATTTCCATTCAACCAAACTGCTGTTGGTCATTTTTTCCGTCTACAAAATTTCTTTCAAACAAATTTTCGGTAACCCTGTGATGCATGTAGCATAAGTTGTCTCAAGATAAATTTATGAGCTGGGGCTCTTGAAAACAATGAGTCAAGTCTCCTGTATAGTAAAGGTCCAATAAAATGTACCAAAAAATTAATTTGAACACTTTTGCCCCTTAAATCCAGGGACATTTTAACATTGTTTCTGATTTCAGATCTACTCCTTTTAGTTCTTATTTTCATGAGGCCCATTGGGAAGTCCTCTTCTTTTAAGTATTTTAGCTTGGATCCACCAACCAGCTGCAACCTTAGTGAGATGTGACTGTATTGACAGATCCTGACCAATAAGGGTAATGATAGTATTAATAGATCCTGACCAATGACAGTATCGCTTGTGATGAAATGGGTTTTAATCAAAATATTTTGTTGTCTATTATATCATAAGATTTTGTTGTCTATGATATGATAAAATTTTGCCAGAATGAATGTAATTTAATCATGTTTTAATAGTGCCTTTGTGTGCATAATTAGTAATTAGTCTCATGAAATGTTGTTTTTTAACAACATTATTTGTTGACATTATTATAATAATGTTTTTTTTTTAAATTGGTGAGGAAGTAACCAATGGCATTATAAACACCCTTAAGATTTAATGAGGAAAACAGTCCCCAACAATGTTTTTCATATTTTTCACGCCCAGGAGCAGGGCTTCTCACAAGGGTTGAAGGAGTGCTCTGACCATTTGGCCGGGGCATAATATTCACAGAACCAAAAATTTAAACAAACATTAGTTTCAAATATTAACTCTTTTTTATGACACATTGCAAATTGCTGAAATTCATGATGCATGAATTTAAATGTTGGCTTTTTGAAGTAATTTTTAAAAAAAACAACAACTTTGCAACATCGAGTTAAATGACACAATAAAAGTCTTGCTGTAATGTGAATAGGGTACTTGAGCAACATGTATTTTAAGACTGTAGTTAGTGACGACACTTCTTTTATGATGAGATGGGTGGGGGGCAGGTGTCCAAAAATACAAATGGCCCTGTCCTCACTTGCCACCCGCAAGGCTCTGCTCTAAATTTGTTAGTAGGGGAGTGAGTTTGTTATTTCTAATTTTTGTCAAAGTTTCTAATAGTTGGTAACCAGAATTGATTTTGGTGTGTGTAAATAGGTCATTAGCACTTAGCAGTGAAACATAAAAAATACATTTGAATGTATCAGTTTGCATTTCAAAAGGTTAATACAATTACAAGGGAGGAAAGTTAATGCAATAGTAAATTATTACACATTTTAATATCCACTCATTAAAAAAAGACCAGAGAGAGGATAAGGGCAACCAGATATTTCAGAGAAACATAAACTGAGGGGCTTGGGGTTTAATCCAAAATTTAGGCCCTAAGTCTCTCAGGCTTCATTGTACTCAGATCATCAATGTTGGGTCACTGCTCAACTTATACATAGTTCTGATTTCTTTTGTTTCATCAAAAGAGTGTCCTAAAAAGTTGCATCATAAATTATGATTTACAAAATTAATTGATGTTGCATATATTCCCTTTTGTTCTCTTTACTTTACCCCAACCATTTAAAAAAAAAAATCTTCCAATGTATTTTTTTTATTGACCGACAATAACTGAAATTAAACACAATATTTTACAATCCAATTTTTGTATGTGTAAGTTATGTGTAAAATGTAGACTGTATGTTCTTACGATTACTTAGCAAAATCACTTCAATGTTTTCCTATACCAGACTGTTAAGTAATAATAAAATAAACATGAAATCGAACTTAATTTTTAAAAATTAAATTTTGTTTTATTGAATCAGGTCCCATATCATCAGAAAAATTATTAGGGGGTCCCCAGTTAGTTTAATATTATAGTTTATAACTTAAAACTCGCTTTGATTTAATTTTTGTTCCCACATCTAATCTGTTTCATGATTTTGTTTTGATATCAAGTAATTTGGAAAAGGCTGTCTCCCCCTCATAGGTTGCTGCAAATGGAATCAGCCATCTTAGAGCCACCTCTGCAACATTGGGAGAGGACTGCGCCACTTCAATCTGAAAATTACTCAAACATATTTCTCGGGAAACCTGTTTTGCACGCCCATCACTAATAAAATTAATAAACTGTTCTTGAATTAAATTGTCCTCTGAACGCAGATCACCAATGGAGAGTACAAAGGTGTTGTTTATAAAGCAATAGCAGTTTTGAATATTCTTATAGATCTTGAAAATAAAGAGAAATTTTGTAGCTTAGAAACATGTTTAATCAAGTCAAGGATATTGTGTTTGACTTAAAGCACATTTTCATCAATATATGATGACATAAAGCATATTTTCATCAATATTTGATGACGTAAAGCACATTTTCATCAATATATGATGACATTGAGCACATTTTCATCAATATATGATGGCGTAAAGCATATTTTCATCAATATATGTGTCCAGCTGTGGAGAAAAGGGCCAAGCTCTTATTTTCTAAATGTTTATCCTATAGTTTGAGCATCAATTTGAAAGCTTCAATGTTTCATGACAATGTAGCACTGAGATCTCTTGTCCTTGCAGCACTGAGATCTCTTGTCCTTGCAGCCCTAAGATCTCTTGTCCTTGCAGCATTGAGATCTCTTGTTCTTGCAGCACTGAGATCTCTTATCCTTGCAGCACTGAGATCTCTTGTCCTTGCAGCACTGAGATCTCTTGTCCTTGCAGCACTGAGATCTCTTGTCCTTGTAGCACAGAGACCTCTTGTCCTTGCAGCACTGAGATCTCTTATCCTTGCAGCACTGAGATCTCTTTTCCTTGCAGCACTGAGATCTCTTGTCCTTGTAGCACTGAGACCTCTTGTCCTTGTAGCACTCAGATATCTTGTCCGTGTAGCACTTCAGAGAAGTGAATGCCAACACATCAGAACACAAAACACACTGTTGTTTCTCTATCCACTATACTTTATTACAGTAAAGCCAAATTTAAAAAAAGAACTTTAATATCTAATAACTTTTTTGGAGGCATTATAATGTTTAAAAAAAATCTTTGTTATTTCAACGAAATATAAATTAGTAATTTATTTTGTTTACGTTAACAATAAAATACTGGATTTAAAAGGCCAATTAATATAAGATGATAAAACATCCAATGTATAACTTATAACTAGCATCATTTAGAAAGGAAAATTATACCAAGGAAAAGAAATGATGGTCATGATGATTGAGTACTTTTATAGTGCTCGTGTTCCTGCTATTTTAGCATGCTGAAAGGACTCTGATGTCCTAAAATCTATTTAATTTAAATTTTAAAGAAAAAAAGGTATTTAAATGGTTCTTAAAAGATTTTTTAATAATTCTCAATTGACCTCAAAGATTTAGGCAAACTGTTCCACAATTTGGGCGCAATAGCTTCAAAAGAGCGCACTGCACTCCGTGTGCTTTCTTATTATGTCCATCCACACTGGGAACTCTCGGTAAGGAGTGTGTTGAAGAGCGCATGCTATGTATGGATACATGTTTAGATGGAGACGATAGGCTCCTTTATGCATAAAAAAGATGGAAAATTTTTGTTTTTTACACAATCTTTCTCCTGCAGGGCTGTACAAAATTAAGTTAGCACAAAGAGAGTTTGGAGACGTATGCTCCGCCAAAACCAATGTTCCATTCTCTGGTTAGCTCTAAGTTTAGCTTTTACTTTTATCTTCAAAGAATCGACAGGCCTGCTGTTGGAGATCTGAGCAATGTTCCCTCTTATGGTTTGCTGGTTCGTGCGCAAAATCGTACAGTTGTGTGCAAAGCTTTACAGCATAAATTTTTGTGTGCGCAAAATTTTACAGCCCACAAACAAAAGCACACACTTACATGGAAATTTGCTGCGCGGATACTCAAAACTGCTGCGCGGCGTCTGTGAGTTAGTTGGGTCAAAATATTAAGTCGAAACTGTTTACAGTTTGACTAAAAAGTGCACAACAAAACAATATAAATAAAATTTTAAAAACTAAAAAACAAACAAATGCTTTTCAAAAAATGTACTTAGCAGTATAAAATAAATGTGCCCCCAAAACTTTTATTACGGTCTCATGATTAAAAAAAAAAGTACAATGATGTCCCACGGCTTTTCTTGGATTGCTCTTTACGTTTGTTAGCTTGTGTGTTGTTAAATTTTGTTTCTCAATTTTGACGGATTCCTCATATCCAACTGAGCGGAAACAAATGTCATTGCCTTCATGGGGATCCCACGCCTTTTTAAAAGCCATTTGAGTCAATGTGACTATAACTTTTAAATAACATTTTGAAGTTTTGGGGTGCATTTATTTGATACTTTTTAGTACATTTTGGGAAAAGCGTGTTTAAAAAAAAAAAATTTGATACTGTTTTATTTAATAAAAATAGTTATAGAAATAAGTGCAGTATGCATAAGATTTCGTTCAAATTTTCTTCCGCGGGACAGTGAACTGGACTCTCCTCTTTAAAAAAATTTTGAGGACCCCTGTTTTTTTTAGATAATCATCAATTCGTAGAAAACCACGCCACTGCATACGATACGAAACAAAATTCTAAACACAACACAATAACATGGTCATATGACTACTAAGATGGCTGACCCAAAACACTGGTTGCGATCTGGCTTCGCCCTCTTTTTTGAGTATAATACTCCAAGAATTGTTCATATACGAAGCAAAAAAGTTGGGATCATCAATCGCTTTTTACAGCTTGTTATTATTTCTTACATAGCTGTGTAAGTACCGTTAATAATGTAAATCTAAGCTCCGGAAAATAATTGTATTTTAATTGTACACCGTTGCCGCCGTTGCCGTTGCCGTTACCGTTGTCAGCCGTTGCCGTTGTCGGTACCATTGTCATTGGCCCAAGCCATTGGCATTAATCATTAACTGTGAGTGTAACTATGTTTCGTTAGTTTTGCCAGTTTACTCATGTCATTAGGACTGGAGTATTTATTAAACTTAGAGTTCGAGCAGACTACTGACTAATACTACTCATATTATAGTTCTATATTTGACTTTATTACAAGACTAAGAATCAAGAGTGTTTGTCTTTTCTGTTTTCTCATTTCATCTACTTTACTTTCTTTTAGTCTGTACTGTTTTTTAGTTTTATTATCACTGTTAATACTGTTATTTTCTCCAAAATTGAAAAGTAAACTTTCAGAGTGATGCAGTTGTTGGATGTTGTGTTACTGGATACTATTTGACAGTATTTGAATTTGAGTTTGTTCTCTAATTTTTTCTCAAAATGTACAAAACTTGAATATTACACACTGATTACAAACAATGCTCAATGTTTGTTTTAGCCCTAGCTAGTGGTCCTAAAGTCCTAGTAAAAATTTATGTACTGTACTTCTAATAGCAGTAATAGCTAATGGTGATCTAGTGTTGTGTTGCTCTCAATATAATAATAATAATAATAAAGTTTATTTGAAAAACACGCTTCATCCCCAAAAGCTCGAAGCGCTGTACAAAGTCAACCCTATTAAAAAGAGAAATAAAAACAATCTAAAATTTACCACATTTAAAAACAGACGCAACAATATAAAGCTACATATGAGCATACCCAGTCAAAGTCTTTCAACCCCATTTCTGCTGGCATCCGTCCGTCACAATGTGACGATGGAGTGGGCTTCGTAGGACGAAATCCACATAGCCTGGAATTGAACTCCAGACCACCAACTTGAGATTTGCTCAGTTTAGACCACTCGGCCACCCAGCACCCTAACCCCATTTCAACCATAAGTAACACAAGCCAATATACATTAACTGAATAAGATGGTAGATAGCATCACCCCAGAAGGTGTTTGCAAAATAGATGTGTTTTTAAATCGGTTTTAAAGGACTCCAGTGTCTGGCTGTTTCTGAGAGGGACTGGAAGTGCGTTTCAAATTGTTGGGCCGGCAAATGCAAAAGTGCGCTTTCCGTAAGTCTCAAGGCGGACACACGGTATCGATATTTTGCCTCTATCGGATGAGCGAAGCTCTCTAGTGGGTACATAAGGCATCATGAGTGCTTTGAGATAAGATGGCGCCAGGTCATGTAAGCAGCGGTAGCACAAAGTTGCAATTTTGTACTCTAAGCGAGCGCGGACCGGCAGCCAGTGCAGCTCCCTCAGAAGTGTTTTGGCATGGTCGAATTTGCGTTTGCGAAGAACAATGCGAGCCGCATTATTCTGTGCTCTTTGAATTTTATCCAGGAGCGTAGCTGAGAGACCCACCATGAGAGCATTGCAGTAGTCCATGCGTGATAACACAAATGCAGACATCAGCCTCTTTGATGCATCTAACGTTAAGAAAGGTCTGATATGACTAATCCTGCGCAGCTCTAGGAAAATTGCTTTGCAAAGCATGTTAATATGATTTTCCATAGTAAGTGTTCTGTCTAAATAGACACCCAGGTCTCGCACTGTATGAGCAAACTCAATCTGCATACCTGAGAGAGTAAGTTACTGTATAAATGTAACTTATATTAGTTGTAATTTTTGTAATGGTAAATTTGGGTTTTACTGTATCATATCATATAGAGTGGACATTTCATATTGAGCACTACATGTCAGCCACAAGATTGTAGACAAGAAAGTACTCAACACACACACACAAAATTTAATAATTTTAGGGATACATTTAATTTGTGATGAACAAATGAACTTTAATGTAAACCTCAGATATGTGACAAGAAGTTTCAACCAGTTGCGCTTGCTCCTTTTTCTGACAAAGTGATAGTTTCATTCGCATTTTTTCTGACAAATTGATTGATAGTGTCATTTGCATTTTTCTGACAAAGTGATATTTTTAGCCTACATACTCAACACATTAATATTTTTATAAGACCTACCCCTGTCTCTACTACCATGTTCTAATGCTCCAGAGCAGTGCCATCTTAAGCAATGGGCACCCTGGGCACTGACCCCAAGGCCTCACACTTCTGGGAGACTCACTTCAAGTACTATTGAATTTAATGAGCATTACATAAAGGAATTTGTAGGTCACCAACCAATAATCCTTTTTAAAAGGAAATTTATTTTAAAAAGAAATAATTTATATTTTCTAAAATGAAACACATATTGTTTTCTATGTCTGAAAAACAAATTTAGATGATAAATAGAACCCAACAGACATTGTAGGTCGGAGTTGCAGGCTGAAATATATAGGCAGTTAGGCATAATTTGTACTCACTGTTTTAAGCTCAAAGTCATGTTCATCTTACATAGCTCAAACACAGAGATTGATTTTACTAACTGAATCATAACAAAAATTTCTCAATGTTCGTTTTCAGCGGGGCACTTGTGAGTTTTAAAGGACAGACCAATACATTTTTTTCAAGACATGTTTTTAAAAAAAAAAAATTATCTTTTGAATGGATTGCCCTTTTGCAAAATAAATATTTCTAATAAATTAATATGTTTCTAGGTGTATAACCCTCTAAGCGGAAATGAAACAAATTTATGAATGGAGCACAAGGGAGAGAAAAAGCTGCATAGGAGAAAAGGAAAATATGAAAACTTGCAAAATTAACAGCTTGGTTAATCCAAGCAAAATATCAGTTACTAGTACTACCGGTACATGCAAAATACAGTAGCGTCATCTGCATCCACTGTACTCACTATTGTAACTAGCAATCCAGTTCCATACATACCATTACCTGTTTCACCTGCTGAGGAAATTTCACAAGATGAAACACACAAAGCTGTGTCTGAAAACGAGAATGTGATTCACCACACAGATCCCTGGCTATGGAACATTAAGTAAGAGTACTCTTACAGTAGAGTACTGGATTTGCAGTGGGCCAGCATTGTGTCAGGGTCATGCCTGCAACCTTTCAAACTCAGGCAATTTTTACAAAGAACTAAGAAGGGGTGTTTATCAAGGAATATCTTCACATGTGAACTGAGGAATGGTGAGTGTGTAAACGTGAGTGGCTACTCTCTTCACCATCACAGGGTTGTTTGTATTGTTTTGCATGCCATCTATTGTCCAAGAAAAAATATCCCTTTACTACACCAGGATTCAACTACTGGAAACGTACAGTTTAATTTTATTTTAGAACAGGAAAATGGAGATCTAGCTAATATGTATCACTAAGACCTTAATAAGGATGACCTATTAAATGAATACAAGCATCTCAAGAGCTATCTAGTTCTTGATGAATATTGTGACACCATCACTGCCTTTTATGAACAAATAATTACAGAAAACTTGAAACCTGTATTTCCTAATGTTGAAACTGTCCATGATGATAACCAACTGTTCAGGGGAATTTTCCTTTTTTAAGATTGAAGCTCATAAAGAATCAGCTTCGCAGTACAAAAATATTACGCAAACGATTATGTTGCTTTATGTTAAATAGTTTATTCTATATATCTGTTAGTAATGATAAGTTATCATCTTATGTGATTAATTATAGTATAGTTTATTTCTGATGTTTTAAAATTATTTTTGATTTTGAATGATTTTTTTTTATTTGTGTCTATAAATTGAATTAATCTATGTTTAATTTTAATGAAGGTTTATTTTTATTTTACTTTTTTTACCTGTTGGAGAGTTGGTGGGGAGCAGGAACTGTCGTAACCCTAAGTTTAGCCTGGTGGGTTGTGTTGTTAGAGGACCCCAGTGCATTGCTTTGCCCTGGGCCTCCTATGTTGTTAAGATGTACCAGCTCCAGGGGCACACACACACCATGTGGTCTCCAGGAAACCATGTGAACAGCATTGGGATTTTTACAGCTTATAAAGAGGATATTAATTGCTTTCAGCTGTTTGCGTCTTATAGCATTGAAGTTTGATAATTTCAAAAGTCAGGAACAAGCTTACATTCTAATATATATGCAAATTAATATGTGGGCTTTCTTAATTCCTAAATGAAGTTTAATGTTTAAAATATGTACTTTGAACATTTTTTTTTTTTTTTTGCATGGGAAATTTTGAAGCCATGACTATTACATTATATCCAAATTCAAAATATCATTGATTTGAAGGTATATGTTAGACTGAGTAGGTATATGATATGTTGGAATGAGTAGGTATTGAGCTCATGTAATGGCAGGTGCTTTTTATTTTGCAAGGATGAAGGCCGTAGCATGACCGAACATTGTGTGGTCACAATATAGCAATCAGAAAAGCTTTGACCTTAAAAAAAATGACATTGCTGTTGACTGCCACTATCCAAGAATGCGTACAGTTATTAAATTTCAGTATTTCATCAACGGAATTAAAAATATTGAGTCCATGATACCTTCAAAATGATACAGCACCAAAAGACATATTAGTCAGAATACATGTGATGGAATTTTGGGTGAATTGTGGAAAGGAATAGCCAGTTTTATTAGAAGAGGGAATACATTTTTCAACACTTTTTTTCCACAACTTGAATGAAGCTGACTTTCCAATACAAGTTTTTCTAAACAATAAATATAGAAACTGAGATCTATCGATAAGGCTGTCATCTCGTTCTCGTAACCTTTTTTTTAAAGTTCACAATATTTAATTAATGAGAAAAGCATCACACTTCTCTTTCATAAATTATCGGCCAAGTCTTAATTTAATTAGTCTAAAAAATTTTGCAGGCGTTAATGGTTCTTTATAATACTATATGAAAACTGTATGGTCATTCAAATCTGTTTTGTGCTACCAATGGGCCTGTGTAAATGATAATTTTAATTTTTCACGGGAAATGGGGCATACATATAAAAATTATCAGGCCATGGGAAAAAAAAGAAGTTTAGGAAACTCTGCAGAAAATATATATTATTTGACCTCTTGATTTTTGGAAACTGGTAAAAATACAAAAAATAGTTAAAAGTTTGTTCACTTGTTAAAATAATAATATTGTCACAATAATATTTTTAAATTTTAATTGTGTCCAACAGGTATGCCATCTACTACAAAAAGGGATACCAAGAGTTTGATGATGTCCAAAGTGCTGTGACCACCAAAGTTAAAGGAATTGTTTTTTCCAATTATAGTCACATTCCTGAGATTGGTATGAGAACATGGGATGTGGCCGATTATGTCATTCCACCGCAGGTGAGAAAATTGCTTCATGCAGTAGGAACTCAGATATCTGGACATTGGTTACCCTGTTGTTATTATTATTATTATTATTATTGGAGAATTAGCTATATGGGAAAGAAGCAACATAACTAGGGCATTATGATCAAAGTCAATCAAGCCTATTGCAGCAAACACTAGTAGCTATGTAGTACACATGGTCAAATTAGGCTAAATACGCGTTTCTCACAATATGGTACCTTTTGTTGCGCCAATCTAGATGGTACACAGTGATAAATATATTAAACCCAGTTCAAATTAGGCAATATGAACATTAATTTCCAGGAGTTTATGTAAGTGGTAGAATGCTTCAAAAGTTTGGAACAATAAAATTTCAATAGTATTTTATTTCCATTTTCTTCATTTTCTTTTGTATTTTGTTTTCAATAAGGCAATACATATTTAAATTGTTTGACCGTCTGAGATAAAAAAATTAAGTGAAGCAATTAAAAAAAAACAGAACACACATATTGAAGTGTAACAATATAATATTGCTACCATCCAGAATGGGAAAGAGAAAAAAACCACCCTACTGACATTTAATAATTCAAATAAGCCATCTTGGTAATGTTAAAAAAAAAAGCTCTACAATGACAGCAGCAATCTTCTTGATCACTAATTGATAATAAATGAAAGGTTATCTAAATTTCTTAAAATCAACATGGCATTATGTTACATTGTGACTACCGGCTTCATGTGACTACCGGCTTCATTATCTTGATTTTTGTGTTCCATTTTTAGTTTTCCTTTCTAAATCGTTGTACAGATTCACTCACTGGTTGTTTGAAATAATGCATTTGTCAGTTCCAAAAGTAAAGATCAGATTAATCACACCTTTAAGTTTGGGTTTCTAAAAATGAATTGTAAATGACATGTACCTCCTTTATCAGTTGATAGGTATGATGCACTAAGTCAGCTTTATTTGTACAAGAGAGCTCTGTGTAATAAAATATAAGTGAATGTGCCAACGCTAAAGTCAATTAATTTTTTTTAAAACTCAAAATCATTTATTTCTTTTTTTTTAAATCAATTAAAATCATAAATGAAAAAGGAATTCAAAAGGCATTTTTGTCATATTTTTATATTTATCATCACTTGAACTGAATAATTGCATTTTTTTAAAAACTTGACAGGAAAACAGTGCATTTTTCGTCATGACAAATGTCATTCCAACACTTGGACAAACTCAGTCAATGTGTTCTGAGGTATGTGTGCATTTTTAAATTGCATTCTTTCAATGGTCCTATATGGCTACTTATTTCAATAATTTAACAAGGGTTCCTTAAATGCTGCTGAAAATATTCAAAAGAAATTTAGTCATTCCTTTTTTAAATTCTGTTTAAGGATCCAACAATAGAAAATATCAAGTGTGAAAATGATGATTATTGTGAACGCCTGAAAGGGACTATATTGCCAGGAGGAAATGGTAAGTTGCTGTGCATAGCAGTGACTGTATATTTAATTCTGTGTATTTGTATTTTGGCTCTTATTTTCTTGTACCATGACACATACATAAACATGAAATATATGACATTTTTAAGCTCAAATGTTTCAATTATGTATTTTTATTTTTTTATAATAGTAAATGTCATTTGTTTAGCAACTGCAACTTTATGATTTGGTTTTGTTTATGAAAAAATCCTTAATTAAAAACTTTTAAAAATAAGGAATCTTCATAATTATGTCACAGGTCCCCTTACTGGGAAATGTGTGAACTCTACAGGAGCTTTGAAAGTCTGTGAAATATATGGTTGGTGTCCTGTAGAGAATGGCAGCCCGTAAGTTTAAACTTAAAATCCTAGCGTAATGTGCCCAATTTTAGTATTAATTTAAAGAGCAAATAACTGGTCTCTGAGTTGGTCGATCCATTTAATTTAAATGAGAGTAGTCAACATATATTTAAAATTCATTAGATCAAATTAAATTTCTAAATTGAAGATATGTAAAAGTAAAAGTGAGAACTTTTAAAATAAATAATTCAGAAGATTGTTAAGATTTATTTTTTTTACAAATTTTATTTGTTTCTTTTCCTCCAAATTCTCTTAAAAATTTTCAGATATAAAAACTTGACTCAACCTATATTGGCTGGGTCTCAAAATTTCACAGTTTTTATCAAAAACAACATAGAGTTTCCAAAGTTTGACGTTAGAAGGTAAATCTGGCAACATACATTTATTTTATAAATTTTGGAAAATTAACTAAATTTTATCATGAAGATAATTTTTTTTATGTTAAAAAATTAACTACAATTTATCTGTTGAATATATTAGAAATCATATTTGATTACTAAGTCTGGCTTGCAGATAATGTAACAAAAAGATAGCACTTTTAAACCAAAAATGTTGATTAAATTTAGGTGTGCAGCATATCGGTAGAGTAGGCATTTTAAAATTTGGTTAAAGATCACATGGTTTATGATGATTAAACTTCAGTTTTCAAATATCAGTTGTATTAATTTTAAAATAACGGCCATGTAACTTCCCCAACTAAGGGTGCCACCTGTCTGCGGTTAAACCACAAATACCCACTTTGACTAACCCAAACTTAGCGTGTGAACTATCCACTTGTGTGACCTCTACACCAGTATATAGGGAAGTAATTATTTTACGGCCATTGGTTCCTGTTCCACTTCAGACATTATGGCATAAATTAAAGGTTGTTAAACATTACATTATTTTATGCTGTTTTGACATTTTCCTAGAGTCAAGCCTGAAAGTAAAAGGCTACCAAATAATTCATGAATTTCAGGCATGCCTTCAGATACATAGAAAAGATATTTAAAATAATTTGATTTCGGTACATTTTAATTACAATGACTTGCTTAAAAATGACAGCCTAAAATTTGGTAGATTAACCAGGCTTTTTGGCATTTAGCTTTCCTAACCAGTGACCATGTCTGGGTTATATTTATTATGGCATTATGTGGTGCACTCCCTTCACTGAATTATGTACCAATCTAGACTTTGTATATACTTATATTAGCACATCTCAATTTCTAGAAATGTGTATTACAGGATACGCCAGTTAGGCATTATTATATAGGTCAAAAGTTAGAGATTATGGAAGAAATTTTTACCTGTGACATGAATCATGACGACCAGGTCTAAATTATGCCACCTGTTTGGTGGCAACAGTTATTTGAAAATTAATTATTTAAAAACTTTGTTTACTGGTATATACTTAAAACATTACATTCTTTGAAGTTTCATTAACATTTGCTGTTGCATAAGTTTAAAGTAAATGGGCCTACTGGTTTGTTGTTTCATAAAAAGATATTATAGCAAGCAAATTTTTCTGTTATTTTTAATATGATAAAAGTCAACTCTTATTTTAAGTTGTACCCAGTAGTTGTCCAAGAAATGACAGTTTATAAAAGAAGTAGACATTAACACATCTGATAAGAAGGCTACAAACTGGCAACAAAAAAATCACACTAAATCTTCTATCATTATATTCTAACAACATAGGCGAAATTTGCCAGAGCATGCAACCAATGAAAGCGCAGCATTTTTAAGTAGCTGCTTGTACAATGCCTCAGACCCAAACAACAAGTTATGTCCCATATTCCGTCTGGATGCCATAGTGACTGGTGCTGGCTACTCTTATAGTGATTTGACATCAGAGGTACTCAGAAAAAGAGATCAGCTTCTACTACTAATTCTCTATACTCACCCTAGTGTGACAATGTAACCATTTTTTTCCTTCAAAATGTTGTTTTTGCTTGACAGATGTTCTCAACAATTCACCAAGAATAAATCTTCATACAAATATATATATATATATATATATATATAAGTTAGTGTCCTATTGCTAAATTTTGTGTGGGAACAATATGAGTTTAGAAATAGATTTAACATACTAAAAAGTTATTGTAGTTTATTTGGATACCTGGTAACGGATTTAGTAACTAGTAACTTTAATAAGGAAGGTGGATGGACTTAGCTAATTACAAAGGGGTCAAGATTTTAATACTAAATTAAAAGTATTTTCGTATGTCATAAGCTTTTTTTATGATATATATTTTTCTCGCCATAAATTGATAGCAATAAAAAAATTTCTAACCAAAGAGGCTTTGTTGTATGTTGCTAAATGTTATATTAGTAGCATCTAACCATTCCTTTGTCAATCCGGGTTGAGAACTTCTGTCTTGTTGTGTTGCTCCGCAGAGTTGGTGTCATCAGCTTAATAATGTCCTAGAGGTTGTTCAGTCCCTTGATTCTAGCAGCCATTTAGTCCCTTTTTTGTACCAATGATTAAGTTCCTAAGCACAAAACATCCCCATGGGACCCATCACAAATACCAATCTGCTACTGCTAATGAAACTTCAAGGAATGTTTTGAAATTTGTTGTTTATTCTCCAAAAATGTTGCAGAAACAGTGGCCAGAGATTTAAAATTGAGTCATTCAAATTTTTGTTCATTTCATGAATATGTTGGGCTGGCATAAGTGTTTTCTTTAATGCCTCTTACATATTATGCTTTTCAGGCGCAATATTTTGGACTTATATGAAAATGATACAGATTTTGGAAATTGTCGATGGAACCGCAATGATTCCAAAGGAAAATTTTGCCCCATATTTGTTTTAAATGATATTGCAAAAGATGCTGGGGTAAATTATGATGACCTGACTCTTCAGGTATGATACCCTCTCACAATACCCCAGTATGCTTAATTGCTGCTTTCATGTAGAAAATTTCAGAAAATTACACTACTGATTACATCAACTCTGTGTTTTTATTGTTTTGTAAATCTGTTGAACTGAAATAAATCTAAGGGTGTTGTTTGATAACTAAAATGTGTAGCGGCTAGAGCTGTTTTGTGAAATTAGACAAAATAATGCTTGAAAATTTCAACATTAACAGGTCTAGAAATCCTGAAATTAATATTTTATAGCTCTTTAATTAAACAGGTTTTGGAAGAAATTTTTAAACTGTTTTATTGTTTAATAACACTTAATTTTTTTAGTGCCATTTTATTATTTATAAGTATCATTTGCTTTCCATTGCATTCAATTTAGTTACTAAAAAATAAAAAAATAAATAAATAACCATCCTTTTTTAAATACAATTAATCAAAATTTTAACTTAATATTGAACCCATAGATTAAACAACATAACATTTGATTGTTGAATGATATATGTCATTAGAGTGGCATAAAGCAAATAATAATTAAATGTTCTTTTTCATTAGGGTGGCGTAATGCAAATAATTATTGACTGGACGTGTAATCTGGACCAAAGTGTTGATAACTGCCTACCTGAGTACAGCTTCAGAAGACTGGACAGAGGGGATTATGTCATATCAAGAGGATTCAATTTCAGGTATTCTGCATTCATTTTGATAATTGTTTAATTGTACTAAACGAGTTTTATTTAACTGCAAACAAAAATATTTTGTTAAAACAGGGTTTGGAGACTCAAATACAATGTATTGCTATGAAGCAATGGCTTGCCTTACCAAATGAAATTTAAAAACTAGTGGGTAGACTTGCTTATGTGTAATGTTACTTGCCAAAATGTATTCTAAAAAAGATAATGGTAGACTCACCTTTTTGTTATGTTAGATTAACGATGCACACTAATTCTGTGAGTAACAAGTATAGTTAAGCTTTAATTTTGTAGAGAAAATTGAAGTAAAATTAACATTTTATCACTCATTTCTAAACTTCTAGATATCCCAAATTAAATGGTTAATTTTTCCACATGTCTTTGCAATTGAGATTGAATTAACCAGTGAAATTAAATGATTTTTTTTTTTATGCTGACAGTTAATTTGATTTATCTCAATACAGATATGCTGACAAGTTTGCAGTAAAAGAAAACAACACCTTCGTCCAGTACAGAAACCTGTACAAGGCAACAGGGATCGTCTTCGTGGTGACTGTCCAAGGGAAGGCTGGAAAGTTCAGCTTCTTTCCTCTAGTGATCAACATTGGCAGCGGTTTGGCCATGTTGGCACTGGTAAGGATCATTTTACTATTTGATTCAAGTGGCGGTTTGAATGAAACAATTCCTAGCAACTGAGTAAAGTTGTAATAGTTCTGATCACTGAATGAATGCAGATATTTAATTTTTTAAAGTTTGAAACCTGTTTCAAATGTTGATATCTCTTCACTGTGTTCTGTTTAAATGCTAGATGCCTGCCTTCTTGAAGTAAAATAATCAGTTTAAAAATTAAATTTATTACTTTTGGTTTTGTAGGCAACCATCGCCTGTGATATCATCGTGCTCTATCTGTTGAAGGCCAGGAACTTCTACAGAGACAAGAAATATTTGGATGTGCAAGGCCAGGATGCATTCAGGGTAATCATACATCTCTTTAGCATAGTACTTACAAAGGGTTTAATCACATTGCATCTAGAAAAAGTTCCCAGATTGTAAAAAAATCTAACCGGGTATTGTCACAACACAGTTGCCAGATTTTTATTATAAGTGTATTTTCTTATTATTTGCCAGATTTTTATATCAGTTGCTGGTGACAAGGTCAGAGATACAACTTTGAGGGTTAGGGACTCTGGATAGTGATGGATAGAAAATTTAGCAAAGCTGCTACTATTGTTGAATTCTTTATACGCCTTTATTTATGTTGATTAAGTTCTTTCATTAGAGTTAGAGAGGTCAGGTCCACTCATTAACATTGTAGGCATTTCTGTTCACCTATGAAGTTTGCCGTCTGTCACTTGTGATGTATTACCTCTGTTACATATGATGGTTGACCGTGGTAAATGAACATACTTGAACTACTATTTGGCCTATAAGGGCTTGGCTGAAAAATTGGGATCTATGAATGCTTTTTTAATTAAAAATAATCTAAATCAAATTCATAATATTTTGATCTGTGATGACTCCTCATCCTTTGTTAATTAGAAAGTCTCTAAAATGAATGAACAATTTTTAATTTTAAAACTGCATTTATTTTTCATTAAAAAAAATGCATCGTATGTCCCCTCCAAATATCAAAGAATTGATAATCTTTGGTCTAAGGTTCAAATTTTAAATTCTTCAGCGCCAAAAAATGACTACAGTGATTGTTATGTAGTGTTGCTGATTTGTCCTTGATTTTATTTTTGCTGATTTGTCCTTGATTTTATTTTAACTGCACTATAACCAATGTCCTGAGTTGTTTGTACTGTCCACTAGCTGGCACTGCTGTCAACCCCAAACTCGCATGACAGCGGGACATTTTCCTCAAGTAAATGTTTTACAAAATTCTGCGTGTGAAGGTCCTTCCTGAGTTGCTTGTTGGCCTGGGAAATATTTCCACTCTCTAATCGGAATCCTAGGAAAAGAAATATTCTATAGGATAAATTTGTAGAAATGAAATAATTAGAAAGTTAATGAATCAGAAATGCTACAGTTATCACTATGGACAGGGCACATACAATTAATTAGGTACAGGGCACATACATCTGGATTGAAAATATTTGAAGTTAGTTGTGTTTTTAAAAATATTTAATTTAAATGTCATTGGAGTTTAAAGCTAAAGGTTTTTATGCATTCCTTTATGCTTGTGATGATCTCTGTGTCACAGCAGACAGTGTGCATCAATATTAATTTTTTTCTGGAATGTCCTTCTCAGATTACGTCTGTTAATGATTTTGATGAATATAGTAAGAAACAAATACTTTGATATTTCCCTCCCTAAATCCAGCTCAATTTGCCCTTTAACTTCTTGAACTTCCCATTGATAGCTCCTTTGGCTTACAAGCTTTGTGTTTCATATTTTGCGTGGTTTCCTTGCTTTATTTCTCAAAATTTTCCTTGGGGACAAAGCTTGTTAGTTTATTGAAGAAAGCCTTTTCTCATCAACAGTTAGTCCTGGTTTCTCAGTTTATTATAAAATAAAATATAGGTCTAAGTCTCAACAATAAAATTGGATTTTAAAGTAGGATGTTGTTGCTTAAATGATGTGTGTAAATATATAACTTATAACCAAAATGTATAGTCATTGAAAAAGTATATCTCTTGATCTTGTTCATATCCCCCCAAAAATGTCCACATATTATAAGAGTCCAGAGATTGTCTTTCCTGTGTGTGCTTAAAGAAATTGTTAGCCACCTCAGATTCCTGCTTTATGCTCTTAATTTTAGATGAATAATAGTTTGACAAATATCAGTTTACTTGATTAATTTCTCTGTGCGTCTAACAACACTTAAATCAAAATGTTGGCTTCAAGTTTAGTTATGTAGAATATTTGGTGGGGGTTGTTATTTAAAACTTTATCTTACTGGAAAAGCTCATGGTAAGCACTCCTTTTGTGAGATGAAAATGGTCAAAACCCCAGAGTGTATATCTCAAAGATGTAACAGCTCAATATATTTAAAGCCACTGAAATATCTTCTTTTGGGTTTAAAACTAATTTTAAAAAAAAAATAAATATGAAAGATCTTGAATTCTTGGTATATATTTTCTCTAAATAAAACAAATAATGTGCATTAAATTACTACAACCGGTATGCACTTTTTTTATTATTATTCCTGAACATCACATTAATATCTAACTGAAAATATATTTAAATTATAAATAGTTATGGTTTTCATATAATTCATGTAAACAGCAAGTAATGTTAAAGGTGCAACAAATTATTTGACACTCTTATGATTCTAAGCTAAGAAAGCAATTATTTCTATTCAAACCAGATACTCGAAGAAGAGTCGCCTCAGGACAGGATGGAGGGGAGCAGCAGCAGCATTAAAAAAAGAAATGTGACCCATTCTTATGATGGCAACCTGGACGGGGATGGCACTGATACCTAGGATAACATTTGATAAGTCCCGAGCCTAGAATATATCAATTAAATTCTAAGAAAAGATAAAAAAAAAAAGGTTAATTTCTTTATGAAAATTTTGTTTCAAAATAATATTCCTGTAAGTATTTTAAGCAATATTGGTAATATTATTGTGAAAGTAACAGTAAACAAAAAGAAATTAACCTCTGTTAAAAACTATATGATATTGTCTTTAATAAAAAAAATCATGACTAGATGTTAGGCGTATTGCATTTATTGAGCAATTTAATTTTTCCTTTGGATTTTAAATCAATTGCAAGACAACTATATATTTGATAAAAATTTTGTATAAAAAATTATGTGTAGTATTTATTTATTTAACATTATTTTTAGCCATGATTTGTGGCAATTTAACATTCTTATATAAAAAAAAAGTATTGATCTTCATATTGACCCACTCATTAAGTATGTCTTCAGCTGAGCAAGGTTTTTTTTATCGTATTTATAAGGAGACCCTTTCTGAATGGTTCATCTTCAGAAGGATGTTTTTTTTCAATTGTAATTTTGTGAAACATTTATCATTTTGGCTAATCCAGTTTTAATTAGTTGTAACTGAATTGTGGGCATTGTTCCTATAAAACTTACCATAGATTGTAAGGGAATATAATATCTAACTTTTGATTTGTTAAATTGTGAGAATGGAAATAAATTAATAATATTATGAAGCCTAAATATTATAAAGGCATAGACGACTTCTCAAGACTGCAGGTCTGAGAGATTTCAAAAGTTACTTTCAATTCTTTGCCTTATTGTTTTGGTTTCCGAAAAATCATACACTTGTACACAAATTAAAGAACTCACTTGTCTCAATAAAATAGTGATTGGTAATTGCATTTTTTATTGCCAACATTTTGGAATTGATCCAAAATACTCTTGTCCTTATGATGTGATATATTACTGGTTCCTATAGTAAATTTAAAATCAAAATTTTTTTATTATAAATATAAAGTTTGTTAATGTATTGACAAGTTTATAAAATAACATAAATGCAAGATTCGTTTGCTGATTGATGCCAAAGTACATGTCAATGATTTGTGTTTTCTTTATACATTTATAATTTTCAAAGGTGTTGTCAGTTTGCAAAAACTGGCTATAGCTATAGTCATCATTAACATGATTGTAAGGGTATCTTTCCTTCATTAAAAATATGCTATATTAGACTACTGTATTTTTAAAAAAAAGACGCTTCAATGTCATGATCGATATTTTAAAATATACCGAACATTACAAAAACGTATCATTACATTTTATGGTGCTAATGACCGCATTGATTTGTTCAAACAAACTAGATTTATTTTCTGCAAGTGATTACTTAATTCTTGAATTGAAGGTTTATTGATACATCAAATATGAGAATCCGATGAAACATTTAAAGGGAAACCTTATTTTTTAATTCCTCTCCAATTTGGCGCTTGTGCATTGACTTAGGTGAATGAGATATTATTTTATCTTACTCAGTGTTAACCCTTCAGGTTAAGAGAAAATTTCTTTTTGGACAAATGAGTTCATTTAATCTCACCATTTGGCTGTAGTTAGGGATGAGCCACCCTATGAATTATGAACTTGCTACCTCCTGGTTGGCAGATGTGCTATCGATGCGCCACATTGCCAGCAATAAGATATGATTATCACTTCACTAAACAACCTGTTGCTAAAATATTATAATGTAGGGCATGTTTAACGCTGCTGTGGGGATGCAAAAGAATGAAATTTTAGTGAGGTTAAGTAAAAAATAGTTAATATGTGCTCTGAATAAATTGAAAGTCAACAAGTCCACTGCATATGTTATAGTACTAGTATGTTACCAAGGAGTTAATGGGGTATAAATAACTTGTGATTGCTATTGATCTATCTTTTGGTGTTGTTAAACGCCATAAAGTTAGCTTCATTTAACTTTTCTCACTTGTGCACCATCATATGATTTCTTTCTATTGATGATAAATTTAACTTTAATTTGCTTTAGCATACTAAAGGTGTATTTTTTTGTGGTAATTCTCATACTAAAAGGTGCTTATATCTTGTAAAAGTGTAATTACATTCAAAACAATATTTCTTATAGCTTACGGCTAGAAATTAAAAATTCTGTTTTAAAAAGGATGTGCTTTGAAAGAAAGATAGAATGCTGACAACAAAATTTTTTTTATGCTTAACTCTAATTTGATAACTTACCAATTACTTGTACGTTACATTATGTGCCATTTAATAAAAATAACTGAATACCTGAAATATTAAAGCGGTGGTTCTGAAAGCTTTTCAAATAATGTCCCCCTTCGCCTTGCTATGGAGCATCACTAAGCCCTTGTCAATTATAATATGAGAAACTTTTGGATAATTTACAAAGCCCCTGTAGAAGCTTCACATAACTCTTCAGAGTCAGCGGATACCTGGTTCAGACCAGGTGCATTCATTTATACGCATTGATCATTTAACATTGTTCATTGAAAGTTGTAACAGTTATATCAGGCTCATAATTTGTGTCGGCATCATGTTATAGCTGCCATGAAAGAAATTGTGTTGGTGCCCTTGGTGATATCAGGCAATTCTCAGAATAGTCATGACAAGACAGAGTTGATTTTCTTAAGGACACACTATCTTTTTGGTGTCACTGTTGTTATTTTTGTGTGCTCCCACCAGACATTATTTTGTCTGGATGCACCACCTTTTTCTTTGCTGCTTGTGCTTTAAAAATGTTAGTGCCAAACGAATTATTACAGCAATGCATTTTTACGATTGTACTTATAATATTTGTAAATAAATCATTTTTGTTTTTATAAAAGCACAGAAGGGTTTAACTTAAACATATTTTAAACAAATTTGGGACCATTTATATTACAATTTTTGTCTAGTGTGGTAATGAGGCGGGAACCTACTATGCTGGAGGCATATGGTCATGAAATTGTGATAGCTTTGTGTTTTAGAATGCAGTGACATATCCCTTGCCATTGAAATGAAATGTAGCTTTCATATTTTAAAGATAAAGTGGTTAAAAATGGGTTGTAGTTATTTGAATTTTTTCAACACATAATGATTATGGAAATATGAATTGTTGAATGATAATATTAAAACCTGATATTTAAAGAGTGAAATTTAAAAAAAATAGAAACATAATTTATACATCTACATGGGTTAATAGAAATGAATAAAAAAATTAATTTATTCCTCTCTTCAAATAAGACTTACACCTCTAAAAAAGAATTGCTGTGATCTGCCTGTTTTTATTTTTAGAACATTTTAACCTCAAATATTTTATTTAAAATCTGAACATTCTTGTGGGATTTCACTACACTGTTTAAAGGTATATTTTATCGGTGCGTTACTAGCTGCCTATAAATTTGATTTTTGTCCTGATGCAAAGGGAGATGCTGTGGGAAAAAAAAATCATCAATTATTGTGTATATCAACTATGAAAATGTTAAATTTATTTCAACAAAAGTTGAGCTTATGTTGATAAAAACATTTATTAAAAATATTCATTAAATGTATTTTATATTTATTCTCAGTATTTAGTAATGGGACATAATAAGCTTTTAAATAACTATATTTTTCCTGGATTTTTAAATTATTTATTTCTTTTGTAATTGTATTGATGTTCTAATTGATACTGGTATAAAAAGTTTTTAAATATCAAATTGTTAATTAAAACTATGGTCACAATAAAAATAAATGAATTTTTATTTCTCAATAATTGATTAATTCAATTTAAAATTAACTTGCATACAATCCACAGAAACAACAAACATTTCCAAAAAGAAATTAATTTGCATAATTGTCCAACATTTATGATGACAAATGTATTTCATCAAGCTTTTAATTTCAATATTCAGTTTGAATTAAAATTAAACAATGGAAATGGAACATGTATATACATTGCAACAATGGATAACACACACTTTCCAAACAAATAAACTGAGCTATATTCTCTGTGCTCCCTTAGCAAACATATCAACATCAGACCATGATATCTTCTCAGCTGTCATATTAAACATGCACCCCTCAGATTAAAAACAACTTTCATTTGCTTCTCATTCATACTTGAACATTTTATTCAAGTGATCCACATGCTCTTCCAACTCACAGAAGTCTCTGTTTTACCAAGATCCATACACAACTAAACTTTCAAAGGTAACTGGATTTAGATGCTAAGTTCTTTCACTGACATCTCTTGAGTTGTAGACCCTTCCTTTAGCCCTGAGATCCCTAACAATTCCAGGGGGTAAATGGCCAGTCACTGAGATAGCATAGCATCCCTTTGTGAACCTCTCTGGAATGAAAGGTTGAAATGTTACTGATTAAAAGACACCATCATCACAAAAGTGCTACCAAATAATACAAAGCTGTTGCCTGAGCTCAGTGGTCTGCAAATCGCGGCTCTTTAGTCAGCCACAAATCGGTTTTGACTCCGAAAAACTTGGTTCTTGACAGGTTCTTGAAAATAAAATTGGCTCTCAAAACTTTTTAAATCGTCCTGCTGTTCATTTTAGGCTCTTTTGACTAACGAGTTTGCCGACCACTGCCTTAGCTGAATTAATATTACATGAATAGGGTCACATATTTAAGATTGATCTTGGAAAAATCTCACCTATTCTCTGCCATTTAGCAACCCAACTGTCTTCAGGACTCATCATAGATATTAGCCTGTAGGTAAAAGAGATGCACATAAAAAGGAACAACAAAACCATTTTAATAACAACACTACAGTAATTAACTAGAGAAATTGCTTCTGAAGAAAATTCACATTGAAAAATAAAGTACAGTCGAGCCTGCTATAATGCATTAACCAGGGTACATAAATCGAACTGCATTAAATGCTTGGTCCTGTTACACAGAGGTATCCCAATATTTTCATGTGATCTACTCCTGTCACGACTAATTCAGCCCAATACGCTCGAGACCCATACTGATGTGCAATTATAATGCTGAGGGCAAAATAAGAAATGCCAGTGGTACCATGAGAAGAACAACATTTGTTGAAATAGTTGTTAACTCCAGGCTTACGAATGCTATATTAGTTTCTGACATACCTATCCTGGCATTGAGATGCTATACCTCTCATTTTACCCTTTCTGCTGATGAATCAATTAAACATATATTGTAAGCTAGCCATATAAAGTTATAAGAAAATAAATAAGAAAGACTCACAAAAAAAAAACCAACTTACCCATCAAAATTGGCACTAGTGCACTCATACACAGCATCCCTGTTATTTTTCATATGCAAAAATTCCTCACAATTTTCGCAACCGTCAAGTTCAAATTGCTCAAACGTCTGAAATGTTAAAAATACATGAGCTTAGGCCCCTTAACTACACTTAAAAAATGGGCTGGTCCACCACCTCAACATTAAACAGAAACTCGCCCCTCTCCCCCTTAGACAGTGACGAGGCTATGACAGGCAGTTCCGGCTCATAAAAACAAGAACTCAGTACAGGAACTCCTCATTCCTGCCAATGACAATCAGGGACTGGAACAAGCTTCCAAAAGCAACAGTTGAGGTGACTACACTTGAAAAATTTGTGTCTATTGCCTCCTGTCTTCCAACCCCCAGTTCATAATACCATCGCTGAGTAGCGACCAGTGACGTATCCCCTTCAAAACCATGCACAGTTACATCGCGAACCCCTCTGAAACAGGAGCCAGAATGATCAATACATTAATCGTGGGCCCTCAAAATATAGAAGAAGATTATAAGTTAAAATTAATTTTAAAATTGTTCTCAAATAAGCTAGAATCCTATGCGCCTATAGCCTATTTAATTTAAATGAGATTTTTAATCATTATAAATAAGACATATCAGCCTACAGATTTGGCCAATCTAAATATCCCCTAGGCGTGAAGAATATTTTAAAAGGAGTTCACCAAAATTTTTTGTAGGTTATACATATTATAGGCTGTGTTGAGTAGGGCAAAAATACCCCTAACCATAATACAGCAATTGTTAGAGTGCAATGCTTCCTTCCTTACATTTACATAGGCTTAAGCCTAAACTGGCTTTGGTAAAAAAAAAAATTAAATTTTAAAACATATTAGTTTTATAGAATATATATTTTAAATAATAATAAAGTTTATTTTTACAAAAATCATGTTTCATCCCCAAAGCCTCGAAGCGTGGTACAAAGTCAACCATATTAAAAGAGAAATGGAACAATCTATATTTTACCACATTAAAAACACAAAACGCAGCACTAAAAAACTACAAACGAGCATGCCCATTCAAAGTCTTTCATTCCTTTCAACTATAAACAACACAAGCTAATATACATCTATGAGTTAATAGCTAGCTGGAAAAGATGGTAGACAACATCACCCCAGCAGATTTTTGCGAAATAGATGTATTTTCAAATAGGTTTTGAAGGATTCCAGTGTCTGACTGTTTCTGAGAGCGACAGGAAGGGTGTTCCAAATTGTTGGGCTGCAAATGCAAAACTGTGCCTTCCTTAAGTCTCAAGGCGAACAAGCGGTATCGAGACTTTGCCACTATCGGATGAGCAGAGTTGTCTAGAGGGTACATAAGGCGTCAATGAGCACTTTGAGATAGGACAGCACCAGGTCATGCAAGCAGCAGTAGCACAGAGTAGCAATTTTGTACTCTATGCAAGCACGGACCAGCAGCCTATGCAGCTCTCTCAGAAGTGTTTTAGCATGGTCGAATTTGCTTTTACGAAGAACAATGCGAGCCGCATTATTCCCGCGCTCTTTGCATTTTATCCAAGACCAATTTCTAGCTTTAGTAGTTTTTGAGTTGTGAATTTTAGGTAATCTTCTACCATTTACCATTTGAGTGTCGGTTATTAAAAATATCATGTTGTTACTGTTGGAAGTGCTATTTAATTTAAATGGTTAGGCCTATTGTTTAAAAAACCTTATATATCACATAGAAGTAGTGTAATAATAGTAGTATTAGTAATATTACTACTTAAACTATTAAAACTAATTAATTTAGGCATTGCATAGCTGACAAAGGCAGGCTAAAAACTAAATTATTATAAATAAAATTGACAACCAATATTAGTATAGAATAGTTAGTAGTATATGGGGCATAAAAGAAACAAAGGCAGACGGAAGGCATAAAAAAAATATTTAAAATAAAATAGGCCTTGCCTTACTGAAAGTGACTGCTCTTTTAATTTTTCGCCTACCTACCTTCACAAGAGAACATAGTAAACATGCTCTGAGGTTTCTCATATCTTTTGGAACCGTTTCTAAAGACATATTGGTATTTTGGTCTACCGGTATTTTTTGTTGAAACTTAAATTTAATAATCCGATTATATGTTTTTATTCCAATAGAGTTGAATAGAGCTTTAGCCTAGTCTACTGCCGCGATTACCAGATTAGTTCTTTGATTTTAGCTAGATCTGTTTACATCAGATATATTCAAACGAGCAATACAATAAAAGTAGCCTTTTATATAAGTAGCTTATGCGTTTACATTTTTACATATACTTTACCAACTAATGAACAATTATTAATAAATATGTAGGAAAGAGCATAAGAAAGGGTATACATTTTTAGTTTTAAATCCATTATTTGAGCAATTTTTTAAATTTAAAATCTTATTATAAATGTAATGGTTTACATTACATAGTTCTAAAAATGTGCAACTGTCTGTTTGATTAGATTTAGATTATAAGCGCAATAATTTATATAATTTATTATCTTAATTGTCTTCGATTTGAGATTTTATTTTAATTAATTATTATAAGTTTAAAGGTTGATAATATTACTTAGTTTTTTGTTTGTTTTAAATGCTCTTATCGGAAGCTAAATGTTGAGAACTAAATTCTATGGGATGTAGCAGGGAGATTCGAACCAGAGTTGTAAGGTCAAAATTTCGATAGTGTCTGCTAGCTACGAGCTAGTACTGAGTGGAAAAGCTGTCGGTATTATTTGCTGGAAAGAGAGAATGTGACAAAACTCACGTATTTCAATACCGGTATATTAGTTTCTATAAAAGGTAAAAGTGAAAATGTTTATATTCAATTTGTTAAAACTTTTTCACCAATTTTCGATTAGGCCGATTGTTAAAATTTAATTTACTAAAATTTTAAATAAATCAATCTAGGGGACGAGGTGTGTTTTTGTGTTACTAACCCTAACTCAACTAACACTGAACTAACTGTAACTGTTAATCAATACTCTTACAAGTCTCACTGACTGTGATTATGATTCAACTGATTGCGATGTTTTGTGAAAGTTGTTTTTACTCCTCATTGATTATAGTTATAGAACTTAACTTATATTATCTATAATTATTAATAATATTGAGTCTATTGACATTAGCCTAATTATTACTAATATATACTAAAATTTAATACTTACATGTTTTTAAGTCAAGTTAAATCTGAAATATGACATACCATAGTACTATATAATATTGAATAAATTATAATTATTATTAATTAATATATCATGTTATTAATGTTATATTTTAATATTATATAGTACAAGCTGGGTAATCTGTTTAAATAGCCCTTCCAACAGGAACAACTGGATTTTTTCTTGGCCGATGCTCAAGTGGTAGATTACCACTAGCTGAATAACCAATATACAACTACAAGATTAGAATTAGAAGCAAACTTAATCATTAATCAATGAAAGAAAGATATTAGATAGGGCCTACAAACTTTAAAAGTTTTAAGTTAATTAATTAACAGACAATAAATTTAAATAGATTAAAATAGAACAATTGTCGATAACGTCTTAAATATTACCACTATTTAATGTTATTGAATTAAAATTCTTTATAAAAAAAGCAGAACAGCATAGTCATAATACTCATACTCATAATTATTTAACTCTAGTAGAAGAAACTTAAAGACATATGAGCAACGCCGGCCTCAGGTAAACTTTGGCCTTTTGCAAAGCACCCATTCAGCACCCCCTTCTCTGTCCCTGTATGGCTCTGCTCTTTTTCCGATTACGACATACTTTTTCTGCTTTGCGCTTGCAGTTTTGCTTTTATTCCCAATATTCTTTCTGCTGAAATAATTGTAAGTGGCACAAGGAAGTATGGTATTAATAGTATTGATAAATTAATTTCCACGCCCAATCGATTGGTCCCAACCCCGAATTTAGTATCCAAATTAGGACTGCAACTTTTATTGTATGAAAACTCATTGTATGAAATGTGATTGTATAAAAAGTTAGAATACCATTTCTCGATCCCAGACCTGAGGTTCACACTTCACTATAATAAACTAAGGGAATTTAAATATTTACTGGGTGCACCTATGGCCACGGTGCCCTGTGCGAGGGCATAGGTCGCACAATCTAAAGGCCAGCGTCGATATGAGTCTTACTCTTATGACAGTCATATTCACCGATTATTTAAAATGCTCTTAGATTAGGGTGACCAAACATCCCGTAAAAACGGGGTTCTCCCGTTTTTTCCACGATCGTACCTGGTGTCCCGAAAAGGTCTCTCAGGGCGCCTAAATGTCCCGTCTCTAAAACCAAACACATTTTCAAATCACTAAAACTTCCTAATTTATAATATAAATTCAAGTAATATTTTGGCAAGCTGTGTAGCCAGTGCCAGTAATGATGTGGGCTCGCGTGATGGCTGCACTTTTCCCCCTCCACCACTCTGCCGACGTACGTTAACGACAGTGTCCCTGCCATAGGTGTTATTAATGTTGTAAAATATGTATAAATAAATAAGTATTCACTGCAAAATTATTGTTTTCGTATACAATATACCTCAGAGTTTAAATTAAATTACAAAAGTGAAGGTAAATTTAAAAAAAGATTTCTACGTCTCAAAATAGTTGTTAAAATAAGCATATTTCAATAAACAGATTCTGGCGGAGGCCCCTGGACCCATTTTTAGCTGGAGGCTATCCTCCACCCCACCCCCAACCCTTTGGGAGTGTCCTGTTTTTTCCAGTTCATGGTTTGGTCACCCTATCCTAGATAGAAATCTAATCTATTATTGTAATGTATTTACTAATTCTATGAAACTCATATCTATGTATTTGCCTTCTCTCTCTCTCTCTCTCTCTCTCTCTCTCTCTCTCTCTCTCTCTCTCTCTCTCTCTCTCTCTCTCTCTCCCTTCCCCCCCCCCCTCTCTCTCTCCACCGGATTGTCATAGTTTAGGCTAGAGTTATTTAAAATTTAACTAGGATAGGTTATATATATTATATTTATATATATATAACATATCCTAGTTACATATGACAATGAGTTTGAGCATAAGTTTAAGCCTACTAGGCTGGTTATGTCATTTAATTTAAGATAATAAGTACATAGGTTGTTAAATAGTATAATAATGTAACCTAATTTAACATATGTCAATATGTGTATTGTTATAGTTCTGAGCATATTAGGCTATTATACTTAAAATTAAATACAAAGGTTAGAGGTAAAACATTTTAATTTAAGTCATTACTAACTAAAAGTAACTTTAATCCCATTACATAAAACCATGATTGATTAGTACTGATCAATAGGCCTGGTTAGTTTAGAAATTAATACATTTGTTATTTAAACTATTTTTATATAATTTTTTCCTCTCAGGGGCAGTGATACTCAAGAATTATGATGGATGTTACACAATATTTGGCTTCCCTAGCAAGCTTCATCCCAACTTGTATGTCTCTTCACATTCATATACAAGATTTTTGCCAACATGCTACTTGATTGTTTACATTTATTAGGAGGATAAATAGTCATGCAAATGTACAGGAAGGATTATAATTCATCTCAGAGACTGTCAAGCTCAAAAATGGGATTTTGCGGGTCAAAATCAAATGCAATGAGCGTAAAAGATGGCGTAATACAAAATGAGTGTTTTGTAGATGTGCTGAATATAATTCCTCATGCACTCTTAGCTCTTGTCTGCATATTTGTCCTTACAGTATGGAATCACTCTGTAATTGGGAAACTGAAAGTGAAAACTTGGGTTCACTATCAATGTCACAGTTTTAGATGGATCTGTACATTGTCACTATTAACTACTATTATTGTTGAGATAGCTGAAGGCTTCATAAGTGATTTAAATGACCCAGACTCAACCAATTACCATGCTTTTGTGCCAGCGTGTGTGGCGTTTCTTGGAGCCTTATTGAGCATAATATTTTATCATAATGTGGAGCAATGGAACTCGCCCAGGTTTTTGCTTGTCCTTTTGATATACTGGCCTGTGGCTGTGGTTCTCAAGTTTTTGAAAGCCCTGTCTATTTTTAGAAATGAACTGACTTTAGACCACCTAAAAGTCTGGTTGGCTTTAATTGACATCATCTTTTACATCATGCTGTTTCTTGTGGAATTAAATGTCTTGAGATGTCAGGTAAGTGCTAATTTTCCTTGCAAGGCTAGACAAACCTAATTTTAAAAATATTTGTTTGAGCTGAATTTTAAAATTCAGCTGAAGTTGCAACTAGTGCATATTATTATTCTACTCATCTTGCTATGCAATTTTAGTTTTATTGAAAGAACGACTAGTATCTCACTTCTGTTGATTTTTAATCACAATTTGCCAATTAATGCAATTAGATGAACACAGATAAATGACTTTCGTTCATCTTGCTAAGTGATATCTCAATTAATTTTGATAACATTGTACTTATTTGAACCCAGCGGTACGCATTCTTCAAGAATCATCGCCGCATGAGGCCACCACCAGATTTGGAAAACACTAAGTACTTACAATCTTATGTGAACTTTTTATCACAAGCTGTTTACTGGTGGGTGACCGATCTGCTCATCCAAGGTTTTAAACACCCTCTTACTCTAAAAGACTTGGGAAGACTGCCACAGGTAATAAATACTGTTAACATATATTTTATTTTATTTTAATAGTTTCATGAATTCTTTGAAATATAAATATTCAAGATATATAATGTACACATTTATGATTGTCCTGAAAACCTTTATCCCAGTCTTTTTATGTTTCTCTTTTTTCATAGAGTGAAAAGTCTTCCAGAATGTATAAAAAACTTCAGATGATTTTTGAGGAGGGAAAGGCAAGTTGAAGAAAAGTTGTATTACTTTAGATCTTGGAATATTCTAAATATATTTGAAAACTAAAATGTCATTGATACAAATCCACCTGGTATTCAATATTATCATGAATTGAAATATGCTTATATTTTTTATATAACAGTTCAAAGCGGCTCAAAAGAAGAAAAAGCCCTCCCTTATATGCACAATATTAAAAGCCTCATGGCCGATGCTTTTGCTGTCTGGATTGTTTCGTTTAATTGGTGATTGTCTGGCATTTGTTGGACCATTGCTAATTGAGCGAATTGTGGATTATGCCTATGAAGTAGATGATTTGAGAGCAAATGCTGCTACTGGAAATGTGACAAAACCTGTCAAGGTAATTAACTAAAGTAAAGTAATTTTTTTCAAGAAGTAAATGAATAAAAACCTCAAGTATTTTTTTTATAAGTTATAAGCTTTTATTATTTTATAAAGATATTTAATTTGGTAATCTCTAACACTTTATACTTTATCTCTTTTAATGTCCTTTTGTTGCATACAATTTCAAAGAATTTTCAAAGCTAGAGGACTTACTAACAAAAGCACAATACAGGTGCTCCATGCATACAAATAGATCCCACTTCTCATCACAAAGACTTTTAATCATAAACCAAGACAAGTTAAAAATGTTAAAAAGGTTTAAATTTAATGAACTTTCTTTTAAAAAAAATATTTTTTTAGCTTAATTATTCATATCAAAGAATAATAATCAAATTATTTTATAATCAAGATTAATTAATGTTTAATTACAATCAGTTTCATTTATATCTCCATTAATTTTTTTTCTTTATTAAGGTGTACAGTTTTGTGGCTGTTGACCAATTTTTCAGCAATGGTTATGTTTTGTCTGTGGTCTTATTCTTGGCCTCAGTGCTGCAACACACCTTGTTACAGAACCATCATTTTATTGTCATCAGAGAAGGTGTGCGAATCCGAACAGCTATGCAGGTGTGTTAACATAGCTTTCAGAATATTTGGCCTCTTGGAGGGTTTATTTTCATGGTTTTGTTTGTGTTTAAAAAAAATTTATGCAAGATCTACTGACAATAAATTATTAAAATTATATATACTTTTTGTCGATACAGCACTGGTCAAATGCTGTAGAGGATCAAGAGAAGATTTAGAACTTAGAATTATATACTATCATTGTATCGGAGATGAGGGCTCATCATTGTCAATTTCTCATCATTAACCATATAACTGGCAACAAGATTTATATGCATAACATTAGAAGTGTTTACATGCATGAGTTATTGAACAAAAATAAATATCATTGTGCTTGCCTCTATGTTCCAGACTATGGTATACAGCAAAGCTTTGAAGTTGTCTACCTTGGAAATGAACAGTGGTAGCACTACAGTGGGCCAGATCATGAATCACATGTCAATAGATTCTACATTTCTTATGTTTTTCTTCTTCTTTGTACACTACATTTGGGCCATCCCATTACAGGTGGGTGTACATTGCCAATACTGCTTCATTTTTTTTTTACCTAGCTCACTTGTTGAAAGGTTGACAGAAACATGTGATCAAGACATATGACTACGCGCACGTGCCCCCCCCCCCCCCCCCCAACTTTAGATATAATATGCTGATATTTCAACTTTTAAAAATGATATTCAGGGACTGAGTATAGAGATAAGACTTTTTGTTTTTTTGATTTATCTGCTGTTGATAGTTGTATTTATTGTTCTGTAATGTAATTAAAAACATCTCCTTCTGGTTGAATGACATGAGTTATTGATGTGTGTTGAAATCATTTATCAATTAAAATGAATTTCCTTTTATACATACTAGTTATTTTGAAGAAAGTGGGACATTTTTGTAAGCACTCCTTTTCAGGATTGTCAATTGATACCATTAATACCAAAATTTAAAAAATCAGGGTATTTTCTTTTGAGTTTTTCCTTCAGTCTGCACTGTTAATTTAGATTTATGCACCAAAATTTAAGTTATTTAAGACAGAGAAAAACTTGGTAAGCAAATTTAAATGAGAAATCTATATATAATTTTGTTTAGTTATAGAAAGTGTGGTGCTCTGAAATGTTTATGACATAATCTTTTAGTTTGTCTTTTTGTGATTAAATGTTCAGTTTTTCTCTCTCTTACAGGTGGGATTGTCCCTTACCATTATGTATTATAAGCTGGGATTAGCTGCACTTATAGGTGGTCTGTTTGTAATAGCTGCTGGTCCAGTTATGTACCTCTTGGGTGTCGCCATGTCCAGAATACAAAAGAAAATTATGGTAATTGAAGATGACACTTTTTTTCTTCTTTTGAAACTATACACATAATTGAAATAAAAATAATTAAAACTGCCTTCTTTAAACTTTAACGTAATTGCTAAGTCCTAAAACTCTTACCTTTAAATTGGAGGTTACTAATGCTGTTAATATGGGCAGAACAAACTTAATTATAGGCAGTGCAGTTAGAGATATAGAATTTTTTGTGTGCTGGGGGTTTTGAGGCATTCAGATAAGCATCTGTATCCCTCTGAAATTTTACTCTGTAAATCTTATGGAGAATAAAAATTGAGGGAGGATATGAAGAATTTTTAAAAAGTCTTTTGATTTTGAAATGTTCCTGTAGAGATCTCTCTATTACAATTTGTATAGTGTGGTGCCCACTGTTACATTCTGCTGGTGCCCCATCATTTTCTCCCTTGATCAACTCATGGTAATTTAACAACACATCATCCAAAGTTGTGTTTTTTGGTTTTGTGTTTTCATTATAATTATAGTTTTTAATTTTTCCCTCAGGTCCATTCCGACAAGCGCGTCAAGAAAGTGAATGAGATGGTGCAAGGCATTAAAGTAATCAAACTGCTGTCATGGGAAAATGGATTCATCAATGCCATACAACGAACTAGAGATGCGGAGTTGTCCTCTCTTTTTTTCAATAATATCTACAAGGCTCTCATGGGTAATTGTTGTGCTGATAAATTGTTGGGATCCAGTGCAAAAAAAATAAAAAAATTGCATACATGCTGCTTAATATATCTACTTATATAATTATTAAGTGTACATCATAATTACTGTGTACATCAGTCTGCTGTACTGCCACAAGGGGAATAATTTAATTTTCAAATTTTGTTAAAATGAACAGAGTTATTATTTCCCTTTAAGTCTCTATTTATATGAACACAAGTTCAGGGGTTAAATTTTGATTGAAAAAAAAAAAATAGTGAATAAAAATTTAAAAATTGTTGAATATTGAAAGGAAATTCATTCCTTTGCATATTTTTTTTTAGCCATTACCAGTTTGTGTTTTCAATTCCTTTTAAAATTATCATATGTTTGTCGGTTTCAAAAATAACTACCTTAAAAAATGTATATACAAAAGTGGAAGAGCTTTTCCACAAAAGATCAACTTCATAATAAAAAAATATACCTGTAAGAACATGTGTACCAGATATTGATGGAAGAAGGAAAATTAAATTAAGATAATTTAAAATTAAGTCTGTTTTCAAAATGAAGCTCTTTCTCTCCAGGCTTCCTTGGCATTTGCTCTCCAGTCATTGGAACACTTTTGGTAAGACAGATAACAGTAATAATTTTTCAAGTTTCTGCCATACAATTATGCTTTCAAAGTTTATATCTTAGTAAAACATGTTATTTCATGAAAAAATATTGTCCTTATGACAGAGAATATGAGCACCAACATCATAACACACTTTCTCAAGTATTTAACCAGTGCCCAGTGAGAATTTCTCAGGCCCCGAATGTCTGTACTTCCACAAGTGACCAGTGAGCTGTACCCAGGCTGAGCATGCCTTTACTTTCACGACAGTATTCAACCACTGCGCAGTGAGCAGGACTCAGGCCCTCAATCTCTGTTCAAATGAAATTTAATTGAATTTAGCGCTTATATTTGTTTTTTCAGTCCTAGGCACCATTTATACTTACATCTTTAAATTGAATTACTAAAAAAAAAAGTAAAAAGTTATGAGAACTGTAAAACAAGGTACATTTAAAAAAAAATCTATCTCTTTTAAGCATGCCTTGTACCAAAGACTTAGGAAGTGATTGGAATTATTTTGGTTTGATCAAATAAGTATTGACATGAGTTGTATTATTTATTTCAGACATTTGCTCTATATCCTGTGCTGGAAGACAAGCCTCTCTCAGCAGGAGCAACAATGGCAGTGTTGGCTTTGTTTAATCTCCTGCAGGGCCCATTACAGGTAATTGACCATTGATGGTAATTGACTGAATCCTCAACACAGCCAAAAAGTGCAGTTGATTTGTTTTTTTTTTAATGGCTAGCATAATTGTTATGACTGAGTTGTTATGGCTCTTGATTGTCATGACTAAAAAATGGTTAAGTTGGCTTGAATTATTATTTTTCCTTCTTGTTAATGTCTACCATTTGATCAATTAAGGTCATTTTCAAATATTTTTTTTCATTTAGATCATGTCTCTGCTGTCGGCTTCAGTGGCCAATGCTTTGGTCAGTGCGCAGCGACTTCTGCCCTTCCTTATGGCGACAGAGGTCGCCCGTCCCCATTCCTCATTACCAAGTTTCTCCAAGTCGTGCAGTGTGGGCCTAGACTCATCGGCTCCTTCAGTACATGCAACTGTGAGTTTAGTGTTAATTTTACTTGTGTTGAATAATAGTCCATATTTTAAAAGTTGAGCATTTAATTAAAATGATTTTTTTTAAAAATGAGCATACCCATTTCTTTTGAGTTTAAAAATAATCTATGATTAATACATAAAAGTAGTGGCAGTAAACATACTTTTCTAAATCCTGTCGTAATTTTAAAAAAAAAAAAAGTTTTAGTAATTTTATTGAGCATGCACCAATAAATATTTAATATTAGTTTTGTAAACTCATATGAAACAAAAATTGCTTAGTAAAATCTTTAATCCTAGACTCATTTTATAGCTTCTTGAGTGAATATGCATAGAAATGAAAGGTTTATAACAGTTTAATAGTACAAATTGTTAAGGGACATATGTATGTTTCCAGCAAATTGTTAATGGACAGATGTATGTTTCCAGCAAATTGTTAAGGGACATATGTGTGTTTCCAGATTGAAAAGCTTGATTCAGTTCTATCTGTTGATGGCAAAAGCCAGTCTCACCATGGAACCTTTGAGCTCCTGCCACTGGACAGAGATCACAAGTCCAGCCACAACAGCCTGTCCTCAACCACCAGCGTTAAACTAAATACCCCTGGTTACTTGAACCTGGAGAACAATGACCTCAAAGCGGGCGCACCCACTGGGGTACCCATGAGCAGCAGTGGGGGCAGCATGAAGACGAGCTTCTTGGACCCCAAGAAAACAAGTCTGAGCCGAAATGCAACCAGCTCCGAGCTCCTGGATGTCAAACCAAATCCTGCGTTGATGAGGAAGTCCAGTGCTCCAGCTCTGGCCGTGTCAGAAATCACAGGTAGGTTTTTAAAACAATCCCGTGGATCAATGATTTTCTTAATGAGAGGACAGTCTCCCAAAGATTCATGTTTCAAATCATTTAATACCTTTAGGTTGTGCCATTATTTAGATAGATTCGACACTTGTTAATTATAGGTGTTTATCAATCTAAGTTTATCACAAAATAAATTGTAACTAACATATAGTTACAGAGTTACTTTAAACCTTACATAAAATGTAGTAAAAAAATCTTGTTGAGGTTTTAAATGTCAACTTAACATACCTTTAACAAAAAAACAAACAAAGCATATTGACTTTGGTGAACAAGAGGCAAAACTTCAAGACAATGTACCTGCCAATGTTTGACTTTTCCATGTCACACGTGTTAGTGTGCTACGTAACATAGGTTACTTTCAAAGTTGCAGTTGAGTAACAAGTGTTGATAAAACTGTGAAGCAAAGAAAGTAATAAATTTTTCAGTTATTGTAATTTTAAATAATACACAATTTCAATATGGTAAATCATGTATACATATTCATCATTTTATTTTTTCAATACTTCCATGAATTATGTGTGTTACGCAGTAGCAATGTTAAAGTCTGATAAAAGGAAGTTGGTATATTTTGGACAGTTAAGGACATGTTCATACTATACCATTCCATATCAACTAAAAGATTAGTACATAATAAAGGGTCTAAAGGCAGCGTGGAGCCATTTACGACAGTCACATGGACATACTTGTCTGGTGTTCAACTGAGTGTACCGATTGTCATTTTGCTGCCTACATGAATGTCACATCTTGTCCCACCAGGTGACTACAAGAGAAGACGACACCACAGCCAGAGGTCAGTGGAGGACGATGATGCGGCTGTAGAAGACTGTACGCTGATGGAGCTCAGCAACACCATTGAGATGCAGGGGGCAAACTTTTCATGGGAGCTCAGCAAGCAAGACGTCACTCTCAAGGATATCACTATAAAAATACCCACAGGTCTGTGCACCAGCTGGTTGAGACAGCTGACTGCGTGGAGGGTTATGAAATAACTGTTTCAAGACACACATTTTAAGTTACACTGTTTTACCTTCTGCTTCTTGGTCGTTTCCTGGATTCTTTTAGCTTCTCTATATTTTAAAAAAAAAATTCTCTCCAAGAAACAAATATTTTTTGTCATTAGTGAATGTTGGTGCTAACTTTTTAAAAATGTGTTAATTATTGTTTTAAAACTTTTTTTTGTGTTTTTTTTTTTGTTTAGTGATAGACATTGGACCATAGTAACTTATCAACAAAAGAAGAACAAAAAAGTTTATCACAGGGAGAATTTAAAAAAGGATGTGCTTAAAAAAACCACAGTAATTTAAATGTAATGGTGGCAGCACAAGGGCCAACGCTGTCCTACCACTTTTGAAAAATACTTTTCACTTTTAATTCACATTTGACCACTTTTGTCCCCTTCTGTCTAGTTTTAAGTTATGGATCCATCACTGATATATGCTCATACTATTTTTTCATGTGCAGAAAATTTATTTTACATTTAGTAAAAATGTTCTGTCCCATTGGAAATAAATAAATTATATATATATATATATATATATTTATATATTTTTTCTTCTAAAATTCTAATTGCTTGTAAGTGTTTCAATTGATTACAGATTTATTTGATTGTTGGTTCCTCAAACCAGCAGATTAGATGTAAGAAAGTTAAATTTGTAATATTTTAAGATATTCAGGGGAGAGGATTTCCATTGCAGGAAAATTGACCTTGATTGTAGGACCTGTTGGCTCTGGCAAGTCTTCACTACTTTCAGCATTCTTGGGAGAGATGGCTCAGATTTCAGGAAATATGTTTAAAGCCAGGTCTGCATCTATATTTTGTATCAATTTCTTTACTTTTCCAATTTTAAAACAATCTAGTGTTCTATTTTTCCATTGGTCAATGGATTTAAATTACTTTTTCTTTTTTAATTATATAAGAATTATTTGAACTGTGAATTTTTAATAAAAATATATTATTAGAGAGAGAATTGTATTTAATAATTTGCTCCCCCTGTGAATTTCTTATAGTAAGAGATATTAATATCTCTCAAATGTCTAAGCTGATTTAAGTACACATTTTAAAAAGCATAATTATCTTCTATTTTACAGGAATATGAGTGTTGCTTATGTCTCTCAGAGACCCTGGCTGCTCAATGCATCACTTAAAGACAATATACTCTTTGGAAAGCCTTTTGTATGGAGAAAGTAAGTGATTTTATCAAATACATTCTTATGTTGGTGATCTAATGGGGTAAAAATACAAGGCGTGATGTAGTTATTTATTTTCAGTAAAGGAATTAATTTTATTTGTTATGTGATGGCTTTTTTTTACACTAGAGAAATTCTACAGATGTCTTGTGTTAAAATTGTTCCAATTGTAAATGTTTTCTTGGTCAAAATATGTACTTATGTGTGTGCTGAAAATGAATATATACAATTTAATAAAAATATTTCCATTGATTTGGATTTTTTTAAAAATCTTATTTTATCTTACATAAAGGTTATGTACCGAGATGATTCTGACTATTGTGCTCTAAGTTTTTTTGGACTAAATACTCAACAATTTTTCTTTATTATGTATTTAATGTATTTCAGATACAAGAAAGTTATATCTTCTTGTGCTTTGCTGCCTGATATAGAACAGTTGCCTGCAGCAGATAGCACAGAAATTGGTGAAAAGGTACTATCTTAAAATCAATTTAGCTAAAATATCAATATTTGTGCTGAATTCTATCTACCATCGTTTCCCAATTAATTTCTTTGTCACTGAAGTCAAGTTAAATCAAAAGTAAATCCAGAAGATTTACAATAAAAGTACGTTATATTAAAAAGAGGGTTGGACTGAGATAAAGCTTTTCAATAGATTAAGAAGCCTCGAAAAATTTGTTTCAGTAAAACAATATTTGTTAAGCTTTTATTATGGTTAGACAAAATACAAATTTAAACGTTTCAGCTATGTCTTCGTCAGTACAATAAAAAGCTTTAATGTAATTATAAATCAAATTAGCATAGTATATCCGACTTAAAAAATTAAAGAAAAGAACAGAATAAGTCCCCAATGAAAACAAAGATCAGAAGATTGGAAAAAAGAAAATACATAAATTAATCTACTTCATATTAAAAATTGACCTAGGATTTTCTGTTGTTGAATACTACTTACCTACATTTGTCAAGGATTTATAAATGCAAGTTGCTGTGTGTCTTCACTAATACTTTTTTTTCCCCTGTAGGGAGTAAACTTAAGTGGAGGGCAGAAACAGAGAGTCACAATAGCCAGGGCTTTATACTCTGAGGCGGACATAGTTATTTTGGTAAGTTTTAACTGGACTTTTCAAAATTTGCATGTTGAAAACAGGACAAAGATATGCAACCACAAAAATGTTTTATTCCTCCCTCCCTAACGAAATCAACAAAAATCTGTTGTGTAAAAAAAATTATAATAATAATAATAAAGAGAGATATTTTCTTTGTCTTTTTAAAGTTATGCCTATGTTCAAATAAAATATTGGACCCCTCTGCTTTTCCAAAAAAGAACAACAAATTTTTTATATTTACTTTAGTAAATTTGTAGCTTGAGTATTTCTGTTTGAGGATGATCTTATTGAGTATTTCTGTGTTTGTACGTTTGTAGGATGATCCCTTCTCAGCTTTAGACAGCCATGTGGGAAAACATGTGATGGAGGAAGCTATATTGAAGAGACTTGTCAAACGTAGTCGCACAGTCATACTTGTGACTCACCATATACAATACTTAACTTATGCTCATCAGGTACATTGTTTGATAGTAGATATTTTAAGACTGGCATTACATAGGAACTGGATTCGCTATGACAATATTCAAACGTTATATTCTGATGTAAAATGGCTACATATTGCAAATAACTGTTTTATTGCCAGAAATGTTCTATCTTTCTATTAATTTTGATATGTCAGTTTTTTATTGTAAATATAATAATAATAATAATAAAGTTTATTTGAAAATCACGCTTCATCCCCAAATGCTCGAAGTGCGGTACATAGTCTAGTATATTAAAAGAGAAATGAAACAATCTATAATATACCACATTGAAATACAAAATGCAACATTGCAAAAACTATATACGAGAATACCCACTCTTTCACTTGCAACCATAAACAACACAGGCCAACACACATCCACAAGATAATAGCTACATAGACATCATCATCCCTGCAGGTGTTTGCGAAATAGATATGTCTTAAAATCAGTTTTGAAAGAGTATAGTGACTGGCTGTTTCTGAGAACGACAGGAAGGATGTTCCAAATTGTTGGGCCAGCAAATGCGAAAGTACGCCCTCGTAAGTCTCAAGGCGAACACATGGTATGGAGAGTTTGCCACTATCAGAAGAGCGGAGTTGTCTAAAGGGTACATAAGGCTTCAGCAGCTCTTTGAGATAGGACGGTGCCAGGTCATGCAAGCAGCAGTAGCACAGAGTTGCAATTTTGTACTCTATGCGAGCGCGGACCGGCAGCCAATGCAACTCTCTCAGAAGTGTTTTAGCATGGTCAAATTTGCGTTTCCGAAGGACAATGCGAGCTGCAAAAGTCAACACAATTATATCTCTGCTATTAGTTATTTATTTTAAAAATGTGTCTACAAATATATCCAACAGGTTATTGTAATGGCTAATGGTCATGTACACTATCAAGGCAAAGTAGGAGAGGTGAAAAAATTTGACCCTGACCTTTATGAGGTCTGGAGGAAAGCTATTAGGGAAGCTAAAGCAGCAGAACTCAGGTAAATCAACTCAGTATTAAATGCTGATAGCTCTGTTCAGTTAAATACAATTTTTAAATAACTTACATTTTAAAAAAGAAAACTTTATTGTTTGAAAATATGATTATATATGTATCTATAACAAAGTTAATATGTAACTAGGTCTATTTAAGCTATTTAATACATCATTTTTATAATTAAAATTCAGTCAGAAATTTGAATGTGGTGACTTTCTTCACCTGGAGAGAAAACACAGTGGAGGGAGTCAGGTTAGTCATGAAACTATGCCGCGCCCTTCTTCTTCCCAGGTTGGTCTATTTTTTTTTCTCTTTGGTTTTCATCTGGCTTCTTGTACAGCACTTGGTGGTGACCTGCAGTTTCTGTCTTACATGTCGTCACACGGTGAGCTGGACACGCTTTTCATATGAGACGAAGATTTGTTTCGTGATCCACACCATTTCCTGAATGGAACACGCCATTTCCTTTAATTGGCCAATGAAGATTTTCTCTAAACTGGAGTGTAATAAAATTTTAGATCCTTGATTCAGTGACTTGTGATGGTATTATCTGACCAAACCACAAGGTTGAAATAGTTTCTGTAAGGCATCTCACTGTAGTATTGTTTTCATCATTTATGTTGTTTTGCCTGAGGCTTGTTGGCAAAAGCATTGATACTTTCCCATGGTGTTACAGTGTTCACGGTAATCAGTATTGTGCAAATAACTTGGATGAGATTTAACTTTCGGTGTCCTTAAATCAATCAAGATTTTTAACAAATATATTGGATTTATGTATTTTTTAGTTAAGATTTTAATTAAATTTAAAAAAAAAACAAAAAAAAAACGTTTATTTTAAATGCATTCAAATTTTTAAAAAATTTTGTATTCACAAATGATAATTTCCTTTTTTTGTGTGTTATTTTACTTTTAAAAAAATGTATTTTATTTAAAAGGAATAATCAAGGGAATTATAAAATAGTTCCCATGTGAAATTTGTGAAATGTAAGAGTGGCCTAACTTTTATCACTGTCAAGTTACTGCTGATATGACTTTGAGAATTTCTTTTTAATAGGCTGTTTTTTCTAACAATTGATAAGATTATTTTCATCACACAAGTCTCTTTATACTTGTATGTCTATAATACTGGCCTGTTTCTATATCATTATAGATTATTAATATTTCTTTAATTTATTAATAATTACAACAAACAAAAAAATAATAAAATCCCAAAACGATCTGATAAGGCAGTTTAATGATTACAAAATCCTAATTTGTACACCTCCTTTTACTCTTGATCTCATCTTGGTTAAATTCCTAGACTGCTCCACCTGCCTCTTTTGTCGTATCATGTAAAAAAAAAATTTTAAAAAACGTTAAGGTATCGACCTATAAACCAGAGTGGGCTGTGCTCTAAGACATGTCATTTCCTTCCATAGTTACTTAGACGCCAAGTAAGTATTGCTCCATGCAGAAAGCCTTCTCCTCTCCTTTGATCAGATTGTTGTGTGTAAACACTGTTGTGCCAAGCCCTCCCCCCCCCCCCCCCCCCCCCCCCNCCCACCTTCTTACTATCGGCAACGTTAAAATAAATAGCCTGCATAATTTAAATCCCATGCATTGTTAACAAATCCCCAAATCACATTAATTTCACTGAGCCAACTTTGAAAAGCCGCAAACTGGTTTTTTATCCACCAAAAAAGAACAAAATGAAACTTTGGATAAGCCATTAATAACGCATGGATAAACACTGTTGACATTAAAGGAATAACTGATGGGATTGTTGCACAAAGGAAACAAAAAAAATTAATTGATTTCAATACGTTTTTAAACCCACACCTTATCCCACCTTACTATAGGATCCTAATATACCTGCACATTCCTTAACTCACTACAACGCCAGCATGTGAGCAGAAACATGCACCCATCAATGAACTAGACACAACACGAGGGAGAAAAGCTCCTTTCTTTTATATCTGAACTAATGTCTTACATTCAACGGTAGCAGTCACTGGCAGCGCATGCACATACTAGTGCATTTGTGTGACCCACTCTACAAAAATTATAACGCAGCACTGAGTCTAGTATTCATGAAAGACCTGGGCTATTTTTACATGATATTGTGATTGTTTTCAACAGTTTTAAAAAAAATTATGATAGGTCATGAATGCGTGTTGTCATCTCTATACCTGGGGCTGTTGTGGCACTTCATGACTAGTTATGCATTTGGAATGATTATTTAGCTGCCCATAAACATGTATATAAAAAAATTAGGACTAGAAATATGAATATATTGAAAGAAAGAGTTAGTTTTAGATCCGAAATAGTTCAGTTTATTGCATGAAGTAAAAACATTTTTGTTCATACATTTTGTTCTCAGAAAGAAAATTGCTTTGTAATATTTGAATTTCATTTAAGTTTTACTTTGCAACTGTTGCCCTTTCAAGACAAAAAAATTTGAGTGAACTGAATTCTTTTTTTTTAAATGATGAGTTTTCCTAAGTAAATTATGTCTCATTATGTTTAAAGAGCATTGGGTCTCATAACTTCTTCAAGAAGATCCATTGCACCGATGTCCCTTCTCTAAATTGAATTAAATAAGAAGCAATGTCACTCTTGAAGATTAGAGACCACTGTTTTGAAAATTTTGGGAAATCTCAATACCAACAACAAAATTCTAACACTAATTTTTTTTGTTACATTTTTACCTATTGTTACTAATACTATTTCAATTATTTTCCCTGTCAGTCACAACTGAGTGTGCCAGGTATGCCAGGGGGATTCCCAGGCGGTCGTAAGATGTCTGCCATGTCTGTCATGACCGAGGCCAGTAATGAGGATGCTGGAGATTTAAGTCCTCATGACGATGATGATGTAGATGGCACTGGTGCCAAGGGTACATCAGGTTAGTGTTTAGTCATAAAGTCAGGCTCATTTAAAGCAACAGATTATAAAGTTTCATTTATAATCGTACGGAATATCTAAATACATAAAAAAATTGGCAGACAGTTTTAAACAAATATTCAGACGTCTATATGATGAAAAAGAAAAGGAAAGAGTAAAAAAATTGTTTTTATCATACAGCCTGACTAATGGGGGAAAATAATATCTATTGGCCGGACAGTATCTGAAATTCAGATATTCTTTTTTGTGGATTTTAATGTACCATATGTCCCATCTGATTTTCTATAACAGTAAATAATAGGAGTTTCATTTAAAATTGAAAGAGCTCATGAAAAGCTTTTTCATTCAATGTAATTTTAAGAGACAATACACAGTACATAGCAGATTTTGACTTTGACAGAAATGTGTCAGTTAGATGTACATAGTAACTTTTTGTGATTCTTCACATGATCAGCAGATCAGCTGGAGGAGAAAGGCAAGTTGATAAAGCAAGAGTTCAGGGAGACAGGTGCCGTCAATGTTTGGGTGTACCTTAGGTATCTCCGGTCCTGCTCTGTTACACTGTGTCTGCTCTCCCTCCTTTTGCAGGTGAATATTTTTTTCTAGCTTACATGTTATGTTGTTGAAGGAATAGATTTCCAAGGTTTCTGTAAAGTGATGGATGCAGGGCCAAATACATTTCAAAGTGTTATTTGTATTTGTATACTTGCCATATTTGAGATAGAAATGCAATGAATATACTGTAACTTGAGTGCAATCAATTATTCATTGACAATGTTAATTATCATTTATTTCTGTCAGTTATTGGGAGAAGCTTATGTGAGAACTAATAAGTCCCTGATATGGCTTAGAGAATTTATTGAATGGCTGTTTTGTTTCACTAGTGAAATAACTTAATGTCTTTGTTCCAATTGTTTTATTTATGTGCTGAAAATGTACAATGAAATAAAAAACCATATCCATTTGTTTGGATCAATAAAAGAATCTTATCTTATCTTATTTTGGGTCAATTGGAAAGGACTTTTGAAGTCCTTTTCTCTACCTCTAGCTTTTGTGAACCGGCCGGCAAGTGTGAGATAACAGAACAAGTAACATCCCCAGATTTGGTCTCATAAATTTCCCATACTAAGTTCTTTCAAAGTGAACCTTCATTTCTAGTTACCCTTCATCATAAGAGCTCTTTGTCATTATCTTTGATTTTTCTTCACATTCAAATGGTATCTTTTATCTTATGACCTTATGAAACAAAAAAAAAATGTTAAGTAAATTTTATTTATTTCAGCTAACTTATGTTATTTAACAGAAGCAGCCAATCACAGGAATGGATTTTCTATAGTTAACATTTTTAACCGAACAAACTAAAATTAAATAATAATTTTTTTAGTAAGCCTTCGCCACCCTGCATTTTTTTCATCTTCTTAGATATCAAAATACATCTACAGAAAGATACCTAAAATATAATTTTAGAAATTTTACATGTTACTTAAAGAAAAGATAAATAACCTAACTCTATCTTATAATGTCAAACTGTTACAGCTTTCATACCATTCTCTGATTGTGGCATCTAATTTCTGGCTCTCACTGTGGGCCAGTGACTCGAGTGTGTATGCTAGAAATTTGTCACGCTTTCTGGCCATCTCAGGCAATGTCACAGAGGATTTCCAGGTACAATTTTTAAAATCATATATCATGTTTTACCTCAGTTTCAGATATCCTTTTAAAAATAACTAAAGTGATACCATGTTCTCTCGTACCCGTAGTTCCACTTTTCCTAAAAAAAATTAATAATTAATTTCATATTTTAGCACAACTTCACTTTTCCTGTCAAATCAAAACAAATATATAATTGATATTGCAGTATCACTATTGAACTTGTACAAAGCCTAGAATTTCTCTCATTGCTTCCTTATTCCTTATGAATGATGTCAGTTTCTAAAACTATTTTTAAAAAATTTGTGTTAAGCCAATTGGAACTGAGCATTTATGAATGCATACTATTTTGTCACTAAGATCAAGTCAAGTATGATTTTATAGATGAATTTGTGAATTTGTTGTCGGTCAGCTAATAAAGCACCATACTATTTTGCCTGCTCTTACTAGATAATTTTTAAATACATTCATTAAGAAAAATCTCAAAACTCATGAGAAGTCGTCAATGAGTTATGAATTGTGAAAGTTGATCAGACTTCCATGGATACCTTTTTTACGAATAGTTTTCATTGTGTCTTTAATTGCCAGTTTGACAATTCACCCTACCTCATGACTTTCATCTACCTGTCCATTGGGTCTGTGCTGGCCACACTCATTGGATGTCTGCTCATTTATCACACTGGCTATGTGGGCTCCAAGAATCTCTTCATCAACATGCTGGTCACGGTCATTCATTTTCCCATGAGGTGAGTTGACTTGGGCTCAGAAGTGGACTGAAGTGCCCAGCGGCCCAGGACAAAAATCTTAAAGTTGAAATTTAATATGCAAGTTTTATTGTAATGTAGAAGTGGCCCAGGCACCCCAACCAATAGCAATGACCCTGACGGCTAAACCGAGATTTTCCCCAGTATCTTGGGGACTCATTCCATCAATGCTTAGGCTAGAACAGCCTAGAGCAGTATCAAATAACTAGATAGAGGCATTATATTTTCAATCAGATTTTCTTACAGACAAGCATAAACCAAGTGTTGTCTACAAGGGAAACTAGCTCTGATTTAATTGAAGTTTCCCATCTTTGAAACGTAAGCAAGTCCTCCTGCCATTCTTAAAAATAGCTTCATTTATAATTTGAATAGTGCATTGCTGGTGTTGCATGTAGAATACTCACCTGCTGAGCAAATGACCCATTTTTGATTCCCTTAAGAATAAACCTCCTTTAAAATATACTTTTATTTGGTTTGTTAAGTCTGCCATTCTTAAAATGTATTGTATAAAACTAGATCATGCCTTGAATGAAATAGTAAACAATAGAAAATTATACATTGTAAAAATATATTACTCTTTATCCATCATTTTGACAAGTGTCTTCATGCTATTGATATAGTTTGGAAATTTTCCATGACTCAATATTAAAATCATTGTTCTTACTACAGATTCTTTGATACTAATCCTAGTGGCAGAGTGCTCAACAGGTTCTCTGGGGATGTCATAGCTATTGATCAAGTAAGTGTACAACTCTACGACAGCACAAATCACATGAAACAAATAAACATTATACTTAAACAACAATTTATTTTAATAAATATTTTTAATGTATCCCAAAAAACAAAATGTTTTATTTGAGTGAAAGCTATGCATAATATCAGTGCTATTTACTACTAATCAACTAAGGCTAATCAAAAGAGGAGGGACGGATTTTGATAAAGCTTAAGTACATTGTGTGTTTACCAGTATTTTGATGCGACAAAAAAATTATAATGTATGATTCGTAAAAATGCCTCCTCCTCCAGACAAAAATATCTTATATCTACTAAAAAGTTAAACTAAACCATGATAATATAATATAAAATAATTTTAGTGAAAAATAAAATTTGACTTATGCAAACTTAAAAGATGGCCACTAGGCAAAACATCATGTGCATTTTGAGTGCCAACATTTGTAAATTTTAGTAATATTGCTCTATCGATTTTCCATTTTTCAGCGACTTGGAGGTCATGTAGAAAACCTACTTCGCTGTACATTTTTCACCATCTCTGCCATCATTGTTAATGCAGTTACCTCACCTTATTTTCTGTTTGCTGCTGTGCCCTTCTTTATCCTGTACTATTGTTTGCAACGATTTTTCCGCTCAACGGCAAGGTCAGATGTTCCCTATGTTGTTTGTTACTTGTACTGATATTTTGTATTTAATCAAAATATGAATGCTTTCAAACATAAAAATGTTGATGAATGTCTGGTTTAAATCATAAGACAATCATGTCTGTGTGTGAGGATGGCAGTAAGGGAGGATAGTTGTATTGTTTAAACTGTCCATGCATGAAGTGACAACTGTCATAACAATCATCAAACACAATGTTGGATTTTTTTGCTGTTAAGTTGCATCTGAACATGAAATTTCACCAAAAAAAAAAAATTCAATATGGTTTACAAATTTAATGTGAACAAAAGTTTAAAATGTATAAGCATTTTTCAATCAGGGTTTCTAGAAATCCTAATCAGGGTTTCTAGGCATGAAATCACTCTTCAAGAATGAAATAGAAAAATTTCGAAGAGGAAAAAGATATTTAAAAAACGTAAAAAAAATACTTTCTAACTAATGCGAGTTTAAAACACTAAAAAGTAGAAATTTTTTAAAAACTTCCTTAAATTGCATAATGCAAATAAATATTTTCAGAAGTGTACATTAGCACTCTTTGTAGTCAAAGGATTTGAATTGAATGCAGAGGAAACTTAAATGTTTTTAAAAAAATAATTTTTTGCAAATATTTTCCAGACAAATATTTTCTGTTGCATAATGCAATTTAAGAAATCTTAAAATAAATTTCTACTATACGGTGTTTTAAACTCATCTTTGATAGAAAGTCTTTTTTTAAAAAGCTTTAAAAAATATCTTGTATTTGTGTCTTTTAAGTATTAAAAATTTTAATTTGTATATCATTGATAAAAAAAGAAGAATTATTTCCTTTTTTTTAAAGAAAGACCCAAAATTCCAAAAATTTCCTTTGACCTGCTATACACATCTCCCATTTTTTTTCTCCCGCCTTTGACTGAACGAAACAGATGCTGATTACAGGTGACAATGACACAGTGAGCGAGTTCGCTCAGTCACGTGCTTAAAAAAAAAAAAATTAGGCTTGACACACAAGATGAAAATGCTTGTAGAGAAAAAAGTCTTTTAAAAAAAAAGCTTTCATTATAAAAATCAAACATTTTAATGTGTTTTTTTTTGCTGAGATATCATTTCAAATGTTTTGTTAGAGTAAAAAGGTTGAGAAATGCTTGGCTATATTTTAAAAATAATTCATTTGACACATCTTTTTTTAAAATTTTTAACTTCACATAATGAATTATTTTCTATCTTTTACACAGTGATTCACTTGTACAGGGAATAATCATTTTCATTATAAACTTAATATTATTTCAGAGAACTACAAAGGTTAGACAGTGTCACCAAGTCACCTATTTATTCTCACTTCTCAGAAACTTTAAGTGGACTTACAGTAATACGTGCTTTTGGGTAAGATTGTTTGATGTTTAAGTTTTATAAAATTTAGAGCTCTTTTTATTGACTTTAATTCTATTTGACATGAAATTTATCAGATCTTTTTTTGATGTCGTTTTTTATTAACCTACCCAAATTTTAGAAAGTTGAAATTTTCAGGCAATGGCATCTTGTCAAACGTTTTTAACTTTCTTAGTTTAGCACCTTGATTTACCGATTGCTGAGATCTTTAAAAAACTTTGTTTTTACTTTACATCATATGATAATTATATTGCGCTATTTTAGGACAGTGAAACTAAGCATATAGCCAGAATGCTGTCTCTTTTTAATAATTGTGAGATTCAACATATGACTACTATGAAAATGCATGGAATCCTATATATGTTTTTCCAACCCTTTGCACCCTGGGAACAAATGATGAAACCTCTGATAGGAAATAGTGGAGGGTCATACTTTATAGAGGTTAGGAGCAGGTACAAAAAAACCTGCCATGGAAGACCCCTTAATGAGGGGAACATTTAAGAGGGGGACACTCCTTAATGAGGGGTACACCTCATTAACTGGTTAGCTACCATTAACCTGTGGGAGCGGCTGGGCGTTTCTTTCATTATGGCCACGTGCCGCTGGTAGCGCTAATGTTTGTATATTACTAAATCGAGTAAAATATTTATATTATTCCGTTCCCGTTTTGCTTCAGGATTTTAATTTACCGACAAGATGTTTATATTCGAACCGCATGCTATCGGCAGAATGTTTTAAAAAACGAAAAGTTAATTAATTTTGATTTAATTTCCAAGCTAGTTACAAAATTGTACTACTTGTTTACGGTGGCAACAAGGGTCAGGGTTACTAGAGGCATATAAGTGATTGGAATTGTAAATATTATTCAATTTCTGTGTTTTTTGGTGAATTTTTCTTATTATTGGATATACTATTTGGAAACCAACAAATAAAAGGCTGTAAATGATTTTGAAATTTAAAATTTACACTAAGTTGGGACATTTATATATTTTTAAAAAAAATTTCTATTGTAAATACTAATTTAACAATTAATAATTTCCCAATTAAACTTAACTTTAAAAATGTTTTAAGTTTAACTTTTGGACAATTCAATTACCTACAAAATGGTTTATTAATAATTAGAATATCTTTAAAATTAAGAAAACTGCAGCTGAATTTGTACATACACCTAAAATGAGAAAATTTTACCTAATTATTTTTCGGCTACAGCGGGTTTTCAATCTGGTAGCTTATCAGTTAATTAGTGGAAAACCCCATTAGTGCTATGTATCATTATCTCATTTGGTTATTTCATATCCTCATTAGAACCAGTATCTTTGCAAATGAGAGGCTCACCATTCCACCTCATGGCCTAGTGCTATTTATGGAAAAAAGAACGCATTGACAATAAGGGACAAAACTTTCATTAAATTAAATGAAAGTAACAGTTATCTGTGTTGATATTTAATATGTTTCCATAGTGTGTCTATTGTATTGTAATTATTCTATTATCAGATGTAATGTATTGAAATGGTCGTCAAGCAGGCCGGTGTGTTTTCCGTGTGTTTCTTGCTATATTTAATCCATAAGAAAAATTTGTTATATTTCAGTGTCCAAACAGATTTCAAAAGGCGAGCCTTCAAAGCCATTGATGTCAATGTCACTCCATTTTTATTCATTCACACAACCAACAGATGGCTAGGGATACGCTTAGTAAGTCACATGTTGTACTGCTAAGTTGTGTTTGCCATTTGTTATCTAATGTGTGAGTGTGACACGTAGTACAGACCTGTTTACTCTTATGATTTTGGCGTACAATGTACGATTTTGAGGTGTATACATTATATATACTGTATGTTTATTTTTACTACTAAGATAATGTATTGAACGATTTTGTGATGATATTGTACGATTTTAAGAGTTTGAGGGTTAACAGTTCTGGTAGTATGTTGTAGGCCTATATGACATATATATTGTGTGACACGTGCTATTCTAAATATATCAAATGTTAAATGGATTAGACCTAAAGCTAAAGCAGACCTGGTTCCTCTTTGAATTTTGGCATACAATGAATGATTTTGAGATGTCACTATATGTTGTACGCCTAGACCTATCAGAGCTACAATTTTAAGAGAGCACTTTGAAAAAAATATATTCCGGTATTTTTTCTGATTACAAAAAAAGGAAAAACATTTTCGGTTGTTAGTTTTTGCTTCTTCCTAAATCCGGTGGTGAATGGACCAATAAATACTATTGGTTGGGGACCATCCTTAATTAAATTATGTGCGTATTGACAAGGGAAGGGAGGGATGGTGCTGATTTAGGATTATGTGTGTGCATGGTGAAGGGAAGGGAGGGATGGTGCTGATTTAGGATTATGTGTGTGCATGGTGGGTTGGGGGGGGGGGGAGTTGCCAAAATATTTTTCAAGGCAATAAAATAACACCACCTTGTTTCATAATAATAGTGATGATGATCATAATATAGTTGCTTTATGTTTTCAAATGAACATGCCAGATATGGCAAACTGTGATATTTAGCTCAGTGGCAAGTTTAGTCAAGATTAGCATTTTTTTTTGCATCTGTGCTGTATGACATAATTATTTCTTTTTTTCCGGCATAGCCACAACCATTGTGATAATGGAGAAAAATAATGATTTTAAAAATTCATTTTTAACTGCTGGCCCAGCAGTGTTAGATTTTCACATGTTTTATCAGCGTTATAAGATCTAGTTTGCTGCGCAGAATTTGAAGTTTAGTTTTAGAAGTTACTAAGCAGGTTATGCTTTTAATACCTGAGTTTGGTTCCAGTATTCCACTTCCCTTCTACCAATACAGCTTGCCGTAATTAACACAGGGGTCACCAAACTTTTTTCATGGCGGGCTGGATAGCAGAAAAAATGACAAGCGCGGGCCGGATAATCATTCTGTGCAATACTTGCAAGCTAGAACGAAAGCTGTGGGGATAAAAGAAGAAAAACTAAGTTTAGTATTCCCTATTAATCATGACACCACAAATAAACACGAGAAGTTGTGAGAGATTAGTAGACTCATCCAGTGCCAGCCATTAATTCTACAGCAAGTTCCTAGCTTTCTCACGTATCAGTAGCGTTATGTTCTCTCCCTATTCTTCTGTTCTCTGCACAGCTGAACTTGCTGAAAGGCTGTTAGTTCCAACCGCAGCGACTATATGTCCTTGTATGTTTCCCTCAAGTTACTTGGAAAGTTTTTCAAATGATGTCATTATTTGTAAATTAAATCTTACTTAAATACATCTTGTTTTATGCTGATCTGACTTCGAGTTTGAACCACGTTAAATTTCACCAGTTACTTTATTTTTACCAGTGACAGCCTGTGATAACGTTATTTGTACGTGCACTCAAAATAAATTAATATCAATAGCAAATACATGTCTGCTAAACAAAGTGACCACAGATTGTAATTGGAAACGTCTGTACGCTATTTTTAGAAGTTTAACTTTTTTAACGCCAGCTTAACTCGATTTCAAATAGGCACTGTGATTAAGTATACTGTTTATTTATTTACTATTAATAAACCGTATTGTAAGATTCTGAGACGATGTTGTATGATTTTAGGAGTTCAAGGGTAAACAGGTCTGCAATAAACAAGAAAATCTAGATACAACAGTTTAAAATTGAAAATGGTAAATTTAAGGTGCACGGCAGCTAGGAGGTCTCCGCACATGTGAAGATCTCCTAGTATTCTAAACATAATTATTGAAATTTAAATCAAATCACAAGGTCGCGTGTTCCATACCTTTTATCAAGAAATTTCAAATATCGTCGGCGGGCCGGATGAACTGGTCTCATGGCCTGATAGACTGGCCTCACAGGCGGGATCCAGCCCACGGGCCGTAGTTAGGTGAACCCTGTTTTAACAGAATAAATGGAATACAAATCAGACCCTAGGGCTGTATGAAAGGGAGGCCGAGTTAAATATTGTGGCCCGCCGGATGTATAACAAATGAACTTTTTTCTTCATTCAAATAGCAATCACTTTGATTCTTGGCATAAAGCACATTTGACATATTTATAAATCCTTTTTTTCTAATGTTATGTTCTATTTTGGTTTCCTGGGCCCTTTTTTTTTGGACTGATTTTTAAAAAAAGGATTGAAATAAGTAATCTTAATTAATTAAACAACCCATAAAAACAAAGTTTTTCATACAAATCCTTTATAAAATGTAATATCAAGCAATGGTGGGGTGAGGCTGAAAATTTTACAAAACATGCATTCAAGGGTTGGAGGAGTGGGGGTGGAGCTGAAAATTTGTTAAATGTTTTTTCATCAGCGAGGTCTTTATGTGAAGCTTTAGGTGGACAGATAGACGGGAAGTGGGTCAATTAGTCATCCAAAAATTTTGCCACACACCCAGCCATAAAGAAACGCACAAACAAAAGTGAAGTTAATATAGAGGATTTAAAAATGATAAAAAAATTATATTATTTAGTAACTACTAAAATAAAACATGTTTATAAGCACAGGTAGGTAAAAGAAATTAATTATCCACAAGCATATCTTCAATTTTTCTCCAATTTAATTGTAGAATGATGCAATCTGTAAATAGATTTCTAGGGAGGCCCCCTTGGCCCCCTACTTTTGATCATGTGACTTTGGTGGGCATCCCTGATTTCCTCTTCACCGCCCCCATTTGGTGACCCCCCATTTTGGTGTATCAAAGTGGCTGTGATAAGCACCTTTTGTATTTGCAATTAAATAATAAAGCACTGTATATAAATATATATAAACATCAGTCATCTACTTGAAGAAGTGACCATTTTTACACATTTACTGTCTGTAGGTATTGTTAACATTATATTTATACACGATTTGTTTATTTACTTTAGCAAAGCAGTTTTTGTAAGATTATGAAGTGGTAAAGTACTATTTTTAAACTATGTTGTACTATTTTGGGAATTCCAAGGTACTCAGGTCTGCTAACGCAATATCATGCATCAAATTTTTAGATTAAATGTATTTAAAAATAACCTTTTTGTTCATAATTTAAAAAAAGTTCATGTTTTAACAATATTATTTCATATCTTGCCAGGATTACATGAGCTGCCTGTTAGTTTTTATTTCATCTGTTGCCAGTTTAAGCTCAGGACTCCATGGCCTAGCCAATCCAGCATTTATTGGGCTATGCATAACTTACACACTCATGGTAAATTTTCTGTACACAACCAACATGTATATATGAGAAATGAACAAAAATGTGTCTAGCCCAAAGTGCAGATTTTGATATCTTAAATTTTGTTTAAGCCAGTGTCTAGTTGAAATATTCAGTGTTTTTGTATGCCAATTTTCTTAATGTTATGACTACTGATAATCTTAAATCAAAAGTTCAAAAACTTCATTCAAAGCAATAAAAAAATTGTCAATGCTCAAATTTTATTTACTTTCATCTTCTTTCCTAAGGGTTAAATCACCCAATTCAAAAAAGAGTTATCTCCCTCCTTTCACAACAGTATTATTATTTGTTTGTTCTCCATATACCTCTCTTAGGTATCAGGTCAACTGAACTGGATAGTGAGGATATCCACGGAAGTAGAGATGGGCATGAATGCAGTAGAGAGGGTGCTGGAGTACACAGACATGGAGGTGGAGGTTACGGTGTCATCTGCTGGTAAAGTCAGACAAAGTCTTTTTTATGTCCATAAGAAGTTTTGTTACTTTTATACAGAAAAGAAGGTAACTTAAAAGGTAACTTAAAGTGGCCATTCGGTCCCAAAATATTAGTCTCCATTGTACTCTGTTCCCTCAGGCTCTGTCTCAGTCCCTGAGTCCTGGCCCAGTGTTGGCAGAGTAGAATTTATTGATGTCACCCTGAGCTATGCCTCGGATCTGGAGCCAGTGCTTCACACTGCATCATTTGTTATAGAAGGAGGAGAAAAGGTAGTTTTTAATTATAGAAGCTTTATTTTTATCTTTGTATTATACAAATTTCTTGTTTTGATTTGAGAATTTAAATCATTAATAAAAGAGCTTTAAGCATTTTTCTCCATATTTTTTTCTTTTCAAGATTGGAATTTGTGGTCGAACAGGAAGTGGAAAATCTTCCACTATCCTAGCCCTTTTTCGTCTGTTGGAGATTGTGGAAGGCACAGTGTTTATTGACTCCCTTGATATATCTAGAGTAGACCTTGTCACATTGAGGTCAAGACTGGCCATCATACCACAGGATCCTGTTTTATTCACTGGGACTCTTAGGTCAGTACAATATTTGGGACCATTAGTACAATTTTATTATAAACTCATAACTCCAAAATTTTTTAGAATTCTTATTCCTTTATGTCTGTCAAGAAAAATCATCAAAAAAATAATGGCATGTGTGTATATTTATTATTCATTTATCGAGAGAATTTATCTAAAACAGATAACTTGACGATGGCCTTTTAGTGTAATTTATGAAATAAAAATGATGGATTTAAGTATCAATAATAATTAAGTTATGAGAACAAATCTGGAATTTTTAGTTTTTGCTTTATATGATGGCATGGATAATGAATAGTTGGCAATATCAAACCACCTTCAGAAATTAAAGTAATTGCTGGTAATCTGTAGTTGTCCCTCCTTAGATACGGTTGTCTATGAAAACAAAACTTTCTAAATATATTTCATATCAATATGGATAAAAACCAAAGCTGTCGTGTGGGCCCTGCAAACCCTTATGAAAAAAAGTAAAATTAAACTACCAATATTGAAAGCAGGGGTGCAAACCGAAAAGTGGCACAGGGCCTTCAAAAGTCACTCAAGGGCCCTGAATGCAAATGGCTGGTGGCAACCCATGCATATCATTGAACTAGACTCGATGGAATCAAATCTCTGTGAATTACATTAATCTTTTAGTTTTACAGCAATCCTGACTTCTCTACAGGTTTAATCTTGACCCAAATGATGTCAAGTCTGATGAGAAACTATGGTCTGCATTGGAAGCAGTACAGATGAAAGACATGGTCTTAGCATTACCAGAGCAGCTAGGTAAATGTCCAGTAGAGCAGTATTATTTTCAAGGAAATTCAATGATGTATGTGTTTTAGACAACATAAGCTAAATTTCAGGATTCATTATTTAACTCCTAAAGACTTGATTGGTTCATTTTTGCCACACCACCACATGTTCAATTGTTATCTAGTATCCCCAACCCCAAAGAAATCTATTTGCTGCTGACAATGTGACTGGTTTGTGTGCTCATTTGGTGTCACAGTTTCCCTCACATGCTTGAGTTTGTCAGCACCACAAATGCTGCAGCAGAAAACTTGTATGAGCATTGCGGTCATGTCGACTTGCCTTTGACTTGGGGAAGTTGACGCATGTACTCGCTAGGGATGGAAAAATATTTATTATGATACTTATTGCTGTTGTCCATTGTTTATGTTCATAAAAAAAAAAATGGTTCATTCTGACAGATGCAGAAGTTGTTGAAGGGGGAGAAAACTTCAGTGTTGGCCAGAGACAGGTGAGTTCATTCCTCCTGGTTCAAAGCTGTATAAATTAATTTGAAAAAGTGTTGCATTTCCAGTTGACAATATTTATTTTAATTTAGACAAGGGCATAATTATTTCATTGTTACTATAATGATTTCCCTTACATTTTTGTTTATATTGTACCCTGTGTTGCACCAACATGATCCAGCATAACATACTTCAACCAGCTATTTTTTTTTTATTTGGTCAGCATCAATATTGCTTTGGTTTCTAGCACAGGTGGTAGAGTTGTTTTTTTTACTCAAGGTTTTCATCCTCTCCTAGGATACTTACCTTGTTCAGGTGGCAAGTCCATTTCACCTGGTCATTGTGTCACATCAATGGATGAAACTCCGGGTGCACTTGAACCTATGATCTCCTAATTTATGATTTGAAAAACAAAATTTTTACAGTTGCATGTCTGTATTAACAACTCAACCTTTTTTTAAAATAATAGGAATAAGGCAGTGGTTCCCAAACTTTTTGACTCGCAGAACCCTTTTTAGAATCGTGGGGGGGGGGGGGGGGGGGGGGGGGGGGGGGGGTGGCTCTTAAGCCTACCCTATGTCTGACAAGAAAATGGTGTTTATTTTATTTCCTGGAGCAGTCGTGGAGCCCCAAAGAAGTGTGCTCAGGGCTCCACGTAGAGCACATTGGAAACCACTGGAATAAGGTACATTTACTGTCAACTTAAATGCTGATCTAAGTTTCACAGTCATGTCTAATGAAACAGAAGAGACTCACAATTAAGCATTATGACATTCCCACCCCCATCAGCTGATCTGCATGGCCCGTGCATTTCTACGAGATTCCAAGATCATTGTGCTGGATGAGGCCACCGCGTCCATCGATTTGGAGACTGATGCCAAAATTCAGGATATCATACATCACGCAGCACAGGAGCATAAAACCATCATCACCATAGCCGTAAGTTGTCTTTTTGCAAAAAAGTTTTGTACGAAGTGTAGCCGTTCAGAAAGCAGAACAAAAAGCCTGTGTAAGGGTAGCCATAAAAAGGTTTTATGAAATTTTACAAATTGAATGCTTATTTTATTACTCTTGCTTGTTCACAATTTAATTTTGTTTTTGAAGAAGAATTGGGGTGGGCAAAATATCTTTTCAGTTTTTAAAAGATATTGGGAGGGGGGGGGGATGTTTTTAAAAAAAAAAGTGGGGTGGGGGGGATGATAAATCTTTGTGTAGTTAATTTTATTAAACAAGCTGGGTCTGTCCAACCTTCTCAATCCGTGTAAGACTAGGCTTGATATTAAAATGGAAGAACATGTAGAGGCAGGCTGGGTCATTTATTAAACAAGATGGGTCTGTCCAACCTTCTCAATCCGTGTAAGACTAGGCTTGATATTAAAATGGAAGAACATGTAGAGGCAGGCTGGGTCATTTTCACTCTCAATGATTAGCAGGAACAAGTTAAAATAATGTGGGTGGACTTGGTTTTTGAATGAGTCAGTGGATCCTTGAATGTCTTTGTGTTACAGTTGTAGTGTATTACTGTCTTTGTGTTACAGTCATAGTGTATTACTGTCTTTGTGTTACAGTCATAGTGTATTACTGTCTTTGTGTTACAGTCATAGTGTATTACTGTCTTTGTGTTACAGTCGTAGTGTATTACTATCTTTGTGTTACAGTCGTAGTGTACTACTATCTTTGTGTTACGGTGTTATTGTGTCATATGAATTGATTTAAATAAGAGACATTTTTTTACATTTATCCATTTGCTAATTGGTACAGCTCTGTTACCTTGTTTCAGCATCGCCTGTCCACAATCATGAATTATGATAAGGTAATGGTTCTTGAGTACGGGGAGCTAAAAGAGTTTGCTCCCCCTAGTCAGCTTGCAGCAGATGATCTGAGTGTCTTCTACAGTCTGCTACATGGGACTTCAGACCAAGACAACAAGTAATCTATGAGGACACAGTTATTGACATTAGATTTCAAGAAATCAGGATTTGGGCATTAATCTTAATTTAACGGGCACCTGCCCCTAACGTCCAATATTTTATCTTAAAAGTTCACCATGTACTGACATAACATAGCATTTACCGCATCAGAAAAAAGATATGTAATACTAATTATCAGCCACTTAATTTTGACTACTTCTTAAGTTAATTTAGATTTTTTTTACAATAACAAGAAAGATAAGCCATTGTGATTTGTGATAACTACCATGGACATAATACTTATTTTATAAGCTCTGTTTTGAAGGTTGAAAGGATTTTATGAATTTTCTTCTTCAATCTTGGTTTAAGTCTTTTATTTTGAGTCCAGCATAACCTAATTTTATTTCCATCAGACACAAACAACATAAATTTATTATTGTTCTTTCATTCAACGTTGATTTCAACCTGATGAAAAAGAAGTAGGATTGATATTGAATGAAAAAAAACAACCTATGTGTATTTTTTCTAATTTGCTCACTGTAAACTTTGGAGTCTCTCAGCATCAATCCATCTGGTTTGTCTCTTATTTGCCTTAGCCATTTCAATTCAGGTTTATAGCTAACGGGACGTTGACTAACAGTGTATTCTTGTGACAACAAACTCAACTTGACCAACTGTGTATTCTTGTGACAAAAAACCTCATAGATCAAGCCTTTCTGCTCTGATGTCATTGCTTCCATTTTACAAAATGTCATAAAAGGTGTTACAGATTTTATATTAAGCTTAGAGTTTTAAAGAAATAATTTTTCGATCGGGCATTGAATGTGTTTTTGCCTTTCTTACACTATCTGGATATGTACACCATGTATGTTTTTATCATAGTTTGACATCCTTAGTGTTATGTGCATCTAGAGTAAAAGCTGTTAGCAGAGTAAAATAGTGGGTTAGTCTGGGTTAAAAGCTGTTTGAAGAGTAAAATAATGGGTTAGTCTGGGGTAAAAGGTGTAAGAAGTATTGAATAATGGGTTAGTCACTGAGATAAGAATAGAATAATAGGTTATTCTCTGGTAAAGGCTGTAAAATAAATACACTGTTTGGTGTGCACTGTTATATGTAAAATTAAAATACATTTTTGGTGTGACAATGCATATTAATTTCTGTGTTGCATCATAGGGTGTGTGATTCCTTATTAAACAAAATGTACATACAATGTATAGATTCAGAATATTTCCCTTCATGTTTACATGTTATTACCACTTACTCTATCTGTTTATATTCTGTACATAAGCAAGAGACATGTTTTGACAGCTAGATTTTTATATGGCAGTGAACGTTTGTTACCATGTACAGGATACAAAGGCAACCATATGTTGTGTGCTCAAATCAACTTTCACTGTATGTGTGTGCCACTCTGGGCACAAGTACCGTGTTACATTTATGTGAACATCTAGCCATCGTTTGAATAACCTGCTGGCACTAACTTAGCTACTACAACTAAAGCATTGTAAACAAGGACGGTACTTATTTTTTGTATTTCTGTGCTCTTTGTTTCCCCAATCCCTATTGTATTGTTTTTTTGTGTAGTGGATTTGGTGTAATATATCCAAAGTTGTTTCACTGATGAGCAGGGTCCAAGGAATATGTTATTCACATCTAGTTTTAAGTACACTGAAGATCTTTACTTTATTCTTTAACAAAAATCAACATGACAATCTTGTGACTGGTGGTGTATTTTAATCATTCAAAAGTTTGTGGCTCCTTGGGAAAAGGTGCATTCTGGCGTTTAAAAATATGATTAAAAAATTTTGAAATTTGATCTAACACATTCAATGAAAAATAATTTAATCCAAGCAAACAACTTGGTAATAGTAAAATTTTAAAAATTAAAAATACTTTCTCCAAATAAATCACTAGAATTTTGTAAAACTAGGAAAATTATTCTGTTAATGATATTGTAACGAACCCCCCCTCCCAAAGATAAACTTACATATTTTGCTATTTCCTTTATGACATTTTGACTAACCAGACTTTTCTTTACTATGAATGGAATTACATTAATTGTTGAAAAGAAGGTATTTTAAACTGGCTTTTTTAAAAATTATTAGTGCTGATCATGATATTGTTATAAATACATTTTTATGAATTTATCCCCTAATGGCTGTGCACAAGGCGTTGTGGGTTTGGATATGTATTTAGATGGTACTTATAATTAATTATTTGTATTTATCATTTTATTTATTGACACATACACATGTACTGTTCTTGGTTTTGATTCAAATAAATGTAGAACATTTCTCAGTCTGTTTGAAAGTTTGAAAGTTTCAGTCTTGCAGTCATACATTGGTGTCCAGTTGTAATGTTTATGTGTTTTATACATGAATCTTTTGAAAAAACAACAAAAACAACATTAATTGTTTTACCAGTCAAACCAACCTCTGATGTGTTCATTTTGTTGAATGTTATTGGACTTCATAACGACCATTCAAATAACCAAAGACTTGGAGATGTATTCTAATTTGTATCCCGATTCGTGGTAGAGCGTAGCCTTCTCAGATAGCCTTTAAATATCCCTTGGTCAAGATTTTTTGAAATATTCCTTAGTCAAGGTTCTTATGAAATATTCCTTAGTCAAGGCTCTTATGAAATATTCCTTAGCTAAGATTCTTATGAAATATTCCTTAGTCAAGGTTCTTATGAAATATTCCTTAGTCAAGGCTCTGATGAAATAATATTCCTTATGAAATATTCCTTAGTCATGATACTTATAAAATATTTCTTAGTCAAGGTTCTTATGAAATAATATTTCTTTGTCAAGGTTCTTATGAAATATCATTGATCCTGTAAAGAGAAGAAGGTTCTACCAAAAATAGTTTTGGAGTGAGCCTTGTCTTTACACAAGATGCATATTGTCAAAAATTGTAACCCAGCCATCCTAAATATTGTTATTTAGTTTGTTTCTCATGCTCCAGTCTGGGATAAGTGTTTATGTCAAATTTACAAATTATGTTACAGGTAGTGAAATATCAGCAAAAAAAAATAGTCCACTTTTGAAATACTCTACATGCATGTTACGTTAAAATAAACACATTTTCAAGATAATGACTGGATCTATTGTTACCTATAGGATATTACTGAATAATTACTGAAACACAATATTTAATGTTTTACTCATTATATATTAAAAAAATGATTTTACTTGCTCTTTATCTTGTTGATATCATTAGACTGTAAGAACATTTTTAATGAGTGCAAAAATGGCGTGTCAGAAGGGTTGGATGTTAGAGCATAAAATATGATCTCATTTAACTTCTATCTTTAGCAGATGCCTTGTATCGATTACACATTTTAATTAAAGATTTTTTACATTCTAGTTATATGAGTTGTCATTTGGATCTAAATTTGCATGGATTTAGTTCATGGATAACTACATTATATGCGCCATGAATATTATTTTATACTCTATGTTAAAGTTATAAATTTTTTCACCTGTAAATGGAAAGTTTCTTACTTATGGATTAGAGCTTTTTTTTCATCATCATCATCAATGGCACTACAGCCCATGTAGGGCCCTGGCTTGCTCCACCACATCCTTCCATTCGGAGCGATCCATGGCTTTCCGTCTCCATGCTCGAACCCCCAACTGGTGTAAATCTGTCTCCACATCATCAGTTTTTTTTTGCATGTTATTAATATATATTTTTGTGTATGCATGTTTTTTTTTTTTTTTTGCCATCCATAATTTTTTCTCCCATGGCCTGTGGGTTTACATTTTCCCAGTTTTTTATTTTTTTTCTTTAGCACAATCTCTTTTTTTAACACTTTTTTCTTTTGATAAACATGTTTTTGTGTGTTCTTTTTTATTTTTATTTTTGTGTATGCATGTTTTTTTTTTTTTTTTGCCATCCATAATTTTTGCTCCCATGGACTGTGGGTTTACATTCTACCAGTTTGTTAATTTTTTTCATTAGCACAATCTCATTTTTGAACACTTATTTCATGTGATAAACATGTTTTTGTGTGTTCTGTTTTAATTATTTTTTTAAAGCTTTGAGGCATAGCCTTCTGTTTTTATATTACTGCGCACACACCTTTGTAATCTCTCATTTCAAAATATTGTTTCTCTAGTCACCATAATATAATAATTTACACAAATAATTTAAAAAAGTAACTTCGATAGCACATGCACACATATGTCTCTGAAAGACTGCTAGACCTTTGAAGACTGTACAAATCACATGTTAACATATCAGATTTGATGGTGGTCTAAAACACCATTGCTTAACACCATAGGAACTACTGTTATGTGATAAATTTATACCAGTGATCGGTGGGAGAGAAGGGGGCAGTTGATCCGTTCCGTTTTGTGTGTGTTTTTTTTGTCCTGTTTTAAAGAAAACTTACAAACAGGTATCTTTGTCAATTGATGGATTGAAGAATATTTTTACAATATCCATTTGCTTCAGGGGATTTGCTACTGCAAACTGTTTCCTACTAGAATAACTTGACCCAAAATAGGGTGCCCATTGGTTTCTCGTTGGTAACAGATAATGAATACAACTAACACATCAAGGATCTGATGTGTTTCTTAATTTTATGAATGCTGTGGGAAGATGGTTTTTAAATTAATGGTCTGTTCATGTCATGCAGTGGAAATTATTTAAAAAATTTTTAAATCATGTCGCAAAGAATTTTTTTTTTTTTTTACGTGTTGTTGGGAAATGGTTTTATGATATTTTGTGTTGTTAACAAATTAAATTAATTAATTAATTTACTTTTAATTTTTCATGTTTAGCTTTTGAGAAATGATTAAACTATTTTTTTTTTGGTTGTTGGCAGTTTAAAATTTTTAAAATCTGGTCAACTTGTTTTTTATTTTTGATAATTTTATTATGTTTGTTCAAATTTTCCTGCTGAAACTTCCAAGATGAGCCAATGTTCAACCATCAAGTGTTTAGGCTGTGACGTGACACATTTATATAGAGTAACTTATATGAGCAAAAAAAAAACTTTTTTATATATATAT